TTCAGCGGTCGGCTGAGTCGTTGCGATTTTTTTGGGACCAAAAAAAAAAAAAAATGTGTCCTCTTACCCCCCCCCCCCCCCCCCCCCCCCCCCCCCCCCCCGCTTATTCAGCGGCTGGCTGAGTCGTTGCGAAATTTTCGGACCGATTTATAAATGTTAAAACCCCCCCCTTGAAAAAATCCTGCGTACGCGCCTGCGTGAGTGCATGTGTGTGATTGCGTATGCGTGCGTGTGTTTGTGTGGGTGTAGGTGTGTGTGGGTGTATATGTGTGTCCTGATTAATCCACATAGTAGCAGTGCTCGACTGCATAGAAGTATTCAAGTATTCAATTTTATTTCACATCTCTTTAAAAACACATCAAAAGATATAGGCCTACAAACAAATCATTATAAATTAAAACAATATAAATATAAAAAAAACATTCATTGACATGGTACTGTGAAGAAATGCATTTTAGGTCAACTATGTAATATAGTTAAATAAATTTCGAAATAAATCAAATAGTTGACATAAAATGCACTTCTTCAAAGTGATCTCTCTCTCTCTCTCTAAATATATATTATATATATATATATATATATATAATATTCATATAAATCATTGGCATTGGAATAAACATTATCAATTCGAAAAAATAAAGTGGGTATCTATTCCCATACCATGAAGCTAGCCGAAGAAAGTTTTTGAAATAGTTTAAACATCGAGAGATGTAAATTGTGACGTATATAGGTGTATATGAATAATTGTGTTCATAATTGTACGTCTAACTATTGTGTTCTTTTTATAAATCATAAGGGATATAATGTAGAAAAGGGGTTTGAAAACTGTTTCAGAATAGCATACCAAATTAAAATGGTGATAACATATTCATGAAATATAATCATAATTATGCTAGTTACAATAGAATACACAAATTATTTATATGCATTGACAAGACCTTAGTGATTAAGCATAATTATAGAATACTGTGTAATATAATGTACGATATTTAAGTGTAACAAAATGTATTTGTTGAAGTTGTCCCTTTCATGTGATAGGCCCATAAAAGATTTATATATATGACGATGTAACAATGTTGATGCAAAATTCTGTATGATGTCTTTTACGTATGAAACTTGCTGTTGTGATAAATGAACTAAAGTTTTTATATGAAATGATAATGCAAAGAACTACAATAAGCATAATAAGCAGAATTAATATATTACACAGACGAGTGATAGTGCTCAATAGCGAAAAGAAGATCGGCGCAAAAATGTGACATTCTTACGTACAAATCCCTAACAGTTGCATTGAGCAAAACGTGTCAGGATATCAATTTCTATTAAATGAATTGAGAATTGCAATCATTAAATTTGTATGTGTTTTTTTAAACAGGATTATTGTAATTACACTAAGACATTTCCCCGAGTGTCTTATTTTCAAAACCATACTGTATAGTATCTAGTTTGCAAATAAACTTTGTAAGTCACTTTAATATTAACACTTTAAAGCTATACATCTGTTCTTCTCGGTGCCATAGTTATCTTACCTTGCTCCCTTCCTCTCTCTCTCTCTCTCTCTATCTCGCTCTCTCTCTCTCTCTCTTTCTCTCGCTCTCTCTCTCTCTCTCTCTGTCCTCTCAATTTCGTCTCTCTCATTCTGTATATAATTATTGATCATATAGTGTGAGCATGTGTGTGTGTATATTGTTATCGATTGTTATAGATTGTTATCTACAACATTGCCCGAATAGCGACTGTCTTGTATTGACACTTGTTGTTAAAGCTCAAGTCCACTCCAAAAATAAATTACTTTCAATAGAACCAGAAAAATCAGACAAACCAATCAAAAAAGGTTTGAACAAAATCGGATAACTAATAAGAAAGTTATGAATTTTTAATGACATAAACAACTTTGAAAATCACTACACAAATTGGCAACTCACTCATGAGTCTGTGACGTATGGTCCTCACTATGCACTTATTATTTTCTTTATATTGATAATGTAAATTTCCTATTTTCACCCTAAGAATCCTCTTTCTTCACACCAGCATCCAAGTCACATTGTTAGTAATATTTTTTATGTGTGGATGCACAAATAAAGAGTAATTTATGTCCAGTTAAATCATGAAGAATTGAATTTTGATAAACTATTTATATAAAAATCAATAATTATGAAATACAATATTCAGAAAATAGTATCAATTCTTCAAAATTCATAAAAGTTTTTGTGAAATGTCATGCACGCAATATGATACAAATGATATAACCTGGGCAAAGGCATGGGGAAATCGGGAAAAGGGAAATTAATGGGATTAAACTATATAAAGCAATTGATAAGTTGTGAGGACATGACGTCACAAACTGATAACCATCTTGGCAAATTGTGTTGTGATTCTCATTGTTCCATAGTTTTACATACTTTTTCAAAAATTCATAGCTTCCTTATTAGTTATCCGATTTTGCTCAAACTTTTTTTGATTGGTTTGTCTGATTTTCCTGCTTTTATTGAAAGTAAGTTATTTTTCGAGTGGACTTGCCCTTTAAGTTATATTTTTATCATTGTGTTTTTGGTTTTATGCAGACAGATACAAATATTAATTCATGATCAATTGTTGAGTTGAAATATGATGAGATTTTTTCCATCGTCGTACCAAGTTAAGCGTTTACTTATCTGTATTTCTGTTTTTAAAATAACGACGAAAGTTTGGATACAATCTAATATCTTTCGATTAAACATGTTAAAATGCGAGCTTTAAATACAATTTTTATTAAAAGTTGCTGAGACAATAGACTGGTTCTGTAAATATTCTTTGATAACTGTTTCGATGATAAGGAGGTATAATGTTGAGTGTACTACATTATTGCAGATTTTTACAAGAGCCATATTGTGAATTCAGTGCATCATTTTATATGGAGTGGCTTATAGTCACTTGTGTGTGAATCTTCAAGGTGATTTTGTGGCTGAAGCAAGAGCTTGGAACTAAAAATAACTGAGTTTGCAGTTAAAACAAGGTATATAGATGAACATATACAATTGAATATGTTTTTAAAAAAGTAATTACAGCAAAAATATGGTCTTTACGGTATGCATTTGAACTGCGTTAAGACATCAATAGGTTTTTAATAGGTGAAAGGAAGGCCGGTTGAAAAATACTAATTTTGATGGTAAAATACTAATTTTGATGGTAAAATACTAATTTTGGAGGTGCTGAGTACTAATTTGTACTTCCATAGGTTGGCAGCTCTGCATGTATATAATCGATAAATAAATGAATACATATTTTTCCTTTTGACGTGATTGTTTTCATGTGTTTTTTGTTGTTGTGTGTCTTTTTGTTGTCGATATTTGTTTTGGTCTGTGTGTCATGGAAAATGCTAAAATGTACATTACATTTTAGCGGACAATCTAAGATTGAAAATGTCCATGACTATTATTTCATCACGTCCTATTTCCCTTTCTGAATATTCTGACACCTATCTGACCTTAGTCCCTATACTAAAGCAGTGTAATGTACCCCGTAAAAATATAAAGTTTATTTAAACTGATTTACGTCAACAAATTGCATCAGTTTATTTTAACACTAGTAACTTCATGCATTGAAGAAAGTGTAATATGGATATTAAAGAAATGAGATTAAATTAAGCGCAGGGTCGATTTTTACAATTTTACATAATTTGAAATTTACTGTAAAGAAATATCATACTAAGTTACCAGGGAGATGAGAGAACCAACACGAAACTAACAAAACACCCATGATAACGAAGTCATAATAGGCTATTATAAAATTATACATAATATGTCCAGAGCCGCATGATTCCAATACCCCTCGCTAATCTTCCTTTTCAGCCTTTTCTTTAATTTATTCATTCCACCCACTGGAACTAGATAATACTCAGGATTATGGACCGCCATTTTAGGTTCAACAATGCACGACAACATGAAGAAGCACTTTCTATATAGGTATTATAGAATAGTGCAGAGTATATAGCGTAGTACCTGTAGCGATGAAGCGCAACTGAATCCTCTATTCCTGATTTTTGTTCTCTGAAAGGACCCCCCCCCCCACACACACACATATATATATATATATATATATATATATATATATATATATATACATTTATAAGATACATACCTTGCATATAATATATATATATATATAATGTATGATAACATATGAAATAAGTAGGCCTATGCAAAATATGTGTGTATATAATTATATAGGCGTGAAGAAAATAGTCTAGGAACATGAAACGTAGCTGTACTTTACAATTTTATTACGAGCTTTCGGCTTGTGAGGCCTTCTTCAGGTTCTGAAGTGCAAACACATACAAAAACAAATACATTACAAACTTAATATCACTCAATCATAGTCAAGCATCATGAACATAGCAAATATATATATATATACAAACATATTCCCGAGAATTAAACTTCCTTACATTTAATTTTTTATACAAGTATAGAATCTACAATTTATGGCTTGTGGAAATCATTGTGCCTGGAAGACGTTCAAGTTGAAGAATGCATATTTTGTGTATTTTATCTACATTATACAAAAAAGAAACATTTTCTCATTATTCCATTTTGTGTGTAGTTGATTTTAATTCCACATCCTTCTGGCTGTGTTATAATATAAATAAAGCATGATATCTAAATTTGCATTTCAGCGCGCATTTATTGTTTAAGTGCTATAAACACATCTGAAATTGAGTGTCCATTGAGACTCGCAAAGTCGTCTCTGTTGGTATAATGTGAGGGCATGAGCTTCATAAAGAAAAACTAGGTGAATCAGGGTTACATTTTTATGTTACAACCATCCTGCTTTCCATTGGCTGAAATATGTGCAGCCCCCCTCAGATCCCACCTTCACTTTCCCTTTCCCTGGTAAAGATAAACAAGGTCCAGGCATGGGTCAACATCACTAAGGAGATCTCGCTTGGTTGATTATAATCGCATCCGGGTATCCTAGCGTGTTGAAGGTTGCTACGTGTTCCCAACGCAAACAAATCATACACGCATTGTCTGACCAGGGAGGCCTGACACAATAAGTTGGGCGCGCCGTTGCGAAGGAACGCTATTCACGCGACAACCAGGAGAGACGCCACTCGCACCGCTACCACTCAGCAAAAAAATTCACACGCGGCCAACTCACACTCGTGGATATACACATTTAAATTTCGGATTTGTTGGAATTTACTGAATAAAATGGCTCAAGTTGCACCTACAGGAGCCCCAACCGATGCTCCCCCTGCTTATCCACCTCCCCCTCAGCAGGCACCACCCCCACAACAGCCAGGATATGGCCAACCACAACCAGGGTATGGCCAACCACCACCACAACCAGGGTATGGCCAACCACCACCACAACCAGGGTATGGATACCCTCCTCCTCCTCAAAACAACAACATGATGATGAACAACACCGTGGTCGTCACCGCACCCGCCCCCGCTCCCGCAAACAACGTCGTCATCATCAACCAGAAGAAGGACAACTGCTGCAGACAAGCCATCCCAGCCCTCCACATCGCCGCCGCTATCCTATGTCTTATTTTCAACATCTTCTTCCCCGGCATTGGTAAGTTTCAAATCGTGATAGAATGTGTTCCCATCTTCTCTTGAATTCCTCCTCCATATCCTGTCCTAACCGCTTACTACATCCTACTGCCACCAAGCTAATTACACCTATAAATGATTCGAATATAGATGTATAACCTTGATTATCTCACTTACAGTCTACATATCATGTCTCTTAATCTTCTATTAAGAGTATACTGAATATCGAATTTTTAAAAGTTGTTTTCTCATTAGCGTATTATTTTAATTGTTCACGATTCAATCTTAAATCAGTTATGTCGAATTTGAAGTTCTGAAGAAATAGAATTAAAGGTTTACAATTAGTTTGGTAAAGATAAAATGAGCTTCTCGAGAGTAGTTCTGTGAGATGCATTCAACAAAAAAAAGGTCGCAAAATGTATGTATATCATCCTATAGAATATACTTTGAATTTCTTCTTTATGTAAAAACTTGTTTACTATAAAGTGAAAATGTTGAATTTAATTATCCTAACGTAATGATAAGAAAAAAACAATCAACAAGCATGCCTGTCTTACGTACAGCGCACCATTGGCGCCTTGTTATTTGGTAGTCGTGACCACTTGATAACACCGGAATTCGTACGCAAATTCGCCATTCATGAATAAAAACGATTACCCCGAACTCCTTGCGGTACTTATTACAAAGTACTGTGTTAATGAATAGGCTAAGTGATGCGATACGGGGAGAAAGCGAAGTTTACGCTGGGGACCATAGCAACAGGGAAGCACGGAGTCAACATGATCGATACTGGCTAGCAACCAGCAAATACTCCGTATAGTATCCTATAGAATCAACTATACGCTCGCCAATCCAGCGAAATGCAACAATGCGCAGCGGGAATGGTGCATGTCTTGTCTCATTGCGTAATACTTTGAAAAGAAAAGCTTGTGCGTCACTGTCACCATCGAAATGTTATGTAACACTTTCCTTCGCTTCATAGTAGCAAACAGTAGATACCGAAGGTGCCTCAGGGAATACCGGTTACATTCCACAGTAGACCCCCTTCCCATCCCTCTACTATCGAATTTTTAGTTTATTGATTTATATTTCATGTGTTCTTAATGAAAGAATTGTTTTAGTGTTATTTCCCACTAATATTTATAATAAATATATATTAATAATACAAATGGTTCCTTAAACGAATCATCATAACAATTTTTATTCGACATCTTGATCATACTCTCATTGACAGTTTCTATATGGTTTCTGAACTTTTCTTTATTATAACATTAAATGAATAATTCTATACATTTTTCAATTTCTTAATGATTTCATTTCCATTTTATTTTACCTACTCCAGGCACGATCATTGCTGGTTTCGCTGTGTTCTGTTGCGGTAACCCCGGAGCGGATGGAGGAAGCAAGGTGGGGACAATGTGCATCAACTTCTGGATCGGCCTCCTCCAAATCGGTACCGTTTGGTTCTTTTTCCTTGGCTGGATCTGGTCCATCATGTGGGGCGCTGCTTTCATCGGCATGTCAGGTAAATATCATAACATTTCTTATTGATAATAAATTCGTTATAAAACTCACCAGTAAAATATGTCTGGGTACCACTTTCGATATAGCTACCATGTCGGTGTATGTTATGTGGATCACTGACATTTATTCAATTTGAAATCATTTAACTCATTTAATAAAATGGGGAAAACAAATATTCTTTTGATCTGTTTTCTCTTCAAAAAACCATCATTGACATCACAATTGATTGTTTATATTTTAAAAACTATTATGGCAAAACAAACAACTGAAGTCTAATTTCTATTTCTCTTTATTTTCCATTTAACAGCTGATTATCATTCCAGTGGAGATACCACTATTGTAGCCACTGGTGGCGGAGGAACCACAGTCATCAACAACTAAACTCGACTTCCAAGACAAAATGATAATAACGCTTCGTGTCTTAATATCATTATCCTGCACCGACGATATCTTGAACTTGAACAATAATTGAACCAAGGAATATTCGAGGCAAGCACCATCGCAAGGAACTCATGTACAGCAATAAAACGTCCCTTGCAGCTAAACCGTTTAAAAAGAAAAGTCAAGAGTCGGCAAGCATATGAGATGCCAAACGTGTAGTCTGAAACCAGAAACTCTCGCGTGTGATGTGAAATTCTTGAGAATTTCGCAAATGGTAAAGGTTCTAGAAGTTTGAAAGCCTCGAAATGATTTAATCTCAAAACAGCCAGTATCAATAATGAAGTTTTGACATTTCGAGGAAGTTTCTTGCCTCGAAAACGGGTTGTCATTAACAACAACAAAAATTCCATGTCGCTGAAGTTTCTGGCTTTACGGTAGTTGATAACGGGTGTGTTGGACACTGGTTGCGATGATTATACTACAGGCGAACTTGCACAGCAATTGTAACTATAGTTGATCAAAACATTCCACTGTTCATTCTATTTTTGTAACAACAAAGTAATCATGATTTTAATATTAGGATATGTTTTGGATCCTCGTATGGCTGATCCTCGTAAAAAAAAGAATAATTTTATTTCAAAGGCAACGCTAGTATGGTGTGTGTCATATACATTTTGTAAAACTTACATTGGAGAATAAGGAGGTGAAGTAAGATGAATTTTATGTCATTTTTTTAATGTTTTCTTAAACGTTAACGTGATCATCGAAGGCTGGATAACTCCGCTCATTATTTATAAATCTTGTAAACATACACGTTTTATATGATGGTACTTCTACAAAATTTAAGTATTGTTTTTAACAGGCATGTTAGTCAATTCACCTTGAGGTTTCTTTTAATGAATGAATTCCCATTGAAGCTGCATATTTTGTATTACTTCGTCACACTATTTCATGTTTTAACACGGTTTGGAGAGTTTGTTTTTATATCGTATGATAGTTAATTTCGTTTATATTATGACATTCCGTCCAGCCTAATATATTATTATTGCTGTTACGGAGATTATGATATAGTACAGCGGAAAAACAAATGGCTGAAAAGGATTTCCCGTAATTCTCACACGTCTTTCATGTACAGGTATGTTTTTATAAATATTGTTTTGAATGAAGGGATATTCAGTTTGTAAATATCAATTATCCTATGTTAAAATATAATGTATCTCTCTGTAATTCTGTGTCCAGATTCATACGTCGATTACTCCGTGGTTATAGTTGAGAGAGATAATGTAAAGAGTAAGATTCAAGGGTGATGTATTTAGAGGGAAAAAAGAGAGACGGAAAGGGAGAAAGATAGAGAGAGATAAGAAAGCTATAATAGAGACAGAGAGAAGATTGAGAAGACATCAGAGAGAGAGAGAGAGAGAGAGAAGGGAGAAGGAGAGAGAAACAGGAAAAGAAAAAAGAGATTGATCAGAAAGATGTAAGAGTGGGGAGGGGTGGAATTGAGATCTTAGGATAAGATTTGTGAAAGGAGTGAAATTTAAATTGGGAATATTTATGTGGAAGTTATAGAAGAAGGGGTGGAGAACTGACGAATCGGCACCAATAGGTGTTAAAGGTGAAATTCAAAGAAAATCACAAATATGTCAACTAATGTATCACTAGAAACTTGTAGGCTAACAGATGGCCATCGTACAAGTTTTAGGTCAACTACATATCGGGTGATTTATAAAAATAAAAAAACAACCACCTCATAGCAGCTGGGATATACGAAAGATTCGCCGGAAAAATAACGATATTTTAATGACGTCACTATATGGACCAACACTGCCCAAGCAGACGACATCCCGTAGAGAATGAACATAATTGCAAAGCTATTATTTCTCAAATTATTATGAGTTAAGTGTATATAAATATAATGGCATGTCAAACCATTCAAAAGGAGTATGACCCGATTCTGATAACTAAAATCTTTTGCTTGTAAATACACAGGATAGGGATTAATTAACAATCAAAGAAACCAGATTTTCAAATTGAAAAACCCTCGGAATGATATTAGGGACGGCATTTGTTCGCTCTTGAAGCGCCGAACATACCCCGTTGTGTGCAGCTGAATATACAATGGCGTCTTATTTTGTTTACAAGCGACAGATTCCTTTATTTTTGTATCGCTGCATTTGTCATCAAAATAAAACCATGCGCGGGGTTTAGAGTGAGGCAATAGATTATGTTTTAGCCTGACGGTAGTGAAGTAAGAGAAAGAACTCGAGAGAAGATGTAAACACAGGCACTGAAAATGTGTGAGATGTCATGGGACATCGTCTGCTTGTGCAAGTCATGTCCATACTGTGATCTCACACGTCTCAGCGGCGTTCGGAGAGCTCTTCAGGTGCTATGCCGGGGCTGTATTTAAGCGTTTTGTAATTTATAATAATCATTACTACGAATGTTACCAAGCATTGAATTTTGATAACCTTGTCGAATCAAAGTTTCAACTTTGCAATAATGAAAATAATGTTAGTTTTTAAAATCAATGAATATCTACTTTAATGAAAACTGAATTTACACCAGCTTTTAAAACTCGTGCGGATGGACGTGGTTCTGGTATGTCATCAATGTGACATGAGGTATGACTGTCCTCTACCGTTCCCTACTACGGACTTTTAGATTTGCACAACGACAACGTGTATTGCTACGATCGACGTCCTTTTAATGCACTGCCTTAAATTGAATGGACGTCACACGTATCAGTCCACGCATCTCTAAAAGTCCCTATTCTTCTCTCATCTACACCTTCTAGTATCGCTTTACCTATGCCTTCACAATATCTGTCTGCCCCTTTCTGAATTATAACTGGCACATTAGATGATTGCCTTTAAAATTATGCTTAAACAACAAAATATCTAAGGCAACATAAACGGTGACGCCTCGCGCGCACTGGCGTAATACATGAATTTTGAAAGGGCTTGGGGCTGCTGCCCCCTACATGTTCCACGCCCACACCCAAAAACGAAAAGAAGAAGAAAAAAGAAAGAAAAGGGATTCCTTTCACGCCTTTTTAACCCCTGCCACTTTGTCTTGTATTCCCTTGGTTTTATTATAATGTATAATACAATACAAAAAACATACATCCTTGCAAAACCGATAATAGCCTACACAAAGCTCAAGCTTTGTTCTTTGGGGTATATTTAAAGAAGTATAGTCCATATGCCCCATTAAGTTTGTCTAGAAAAAAAGGTGTATTTAGGATAACAGGAGTACGTCCTATAAACGATTTAAAGGTCCCCATTTATTAGTATTTCCCTCCAATAAAACCTTCTGTCTTAAGTCAACCAGCCCCCCTTTACCATAGGATTATGCAATATCATCACATTTTTTCTTTCATCTGCACATGAGTGTATGTGGCAAGACGTGTTCAGTGTTACCAGCGGGGGCGGCATCCCGTTGATTCTGCAAAATGAAAACAAAACAAAATAGCATATACAAAATGAAAGATTGATGCCAGAAGCCCAGAACCTTTATATTTCGGCTGTCAAGTGCATTTACTATTTAAAATGGAAACTCTCCTCCATCGATCACTACACGTTCACTTGCTTGATATCCTTTAAAGTTAAAGAAGACCTGTTAACTATAGGGTACAACATAAAAGCGGGGAACGGTGATTCAAGAGAGTAGGCAACTTCCTGCATGGTTAATGTTTGGTTGTCGTCCCCGATATTGGAGAGTCGCAAAAATTGTCAAAACAATATTTAATGCTGACTATCCCCATAATAGAAGAGAAAAATTGAATGGATAGTAAGCTCAGACTTGTGATCAAAACTTCTCTAAAATGACAAGTTCCCAACTGCAAAAGATTACATTTTCTGGCTGGATTGCTACGCAATCTCGCTAAATGAGATTAGATAACTCAACGAGGACGTCGTTAGAATGCAAAGTCTTTATACAGCAAAAGTCAATGCATTTTTTTTAATTCAACGGAATGATATTAATATTTATAGTTTTCCCAGTACCTTGCCGAGAAAGCAACATTTTCATGTAATAATGTAAATACACATATATTGTGAATCAGTACATTTTAAAGCGCTTTAAAACATACCCAAATGCATTTACCATATTCATGTAACACTTTATATTTTCATGTAATAATGTATTTTATACACGTATAGAATTATGAGTCAGTACAATTTAAAGCGGTTAGAAACATAGTACATAATATTTACCCACAGGGCTCTGCACAGCATCCCCCACCGAAGCAAGGCTATCCCAAAACAACCTCCGCCACAACAAAGCTACGCACAGCAACCGCCGCCACAACAAAGCTACGCACATCAACCACCGCCACCATAAAGCTACGCAAAGCGACAACCGGCACAACAAAGCTACGTAAAGCGACAACCGGCCTACTCAGAACAACCCGGAGATGAGAACCAGTTGCACCCACAACAAGGGTTCCCACTCCAACCCCTATAGGGTTTTGGTAACCACATCAGCAACTTAATAATGTGTCAGGAGATCACAATAAAAGAAAGAAAGAATTTAAACAGTGCAAAATATATCAAATTACTACGGGATGCTCTCCATCAACTATAATGAAAAAGAAAAAAAGAAAACCCTTCCTACTTCTATTTTATGGTAGAAGATGAGTTTCATGCAATAAGCTTGGGGAATAAAATCAGAGTTTACTTTGAATGCATATAACGCGAGCATTAGCAAACTAGAATCGTAAAAATCATTTACAGATAATAATTATCACGTTTATTGATTAGGACTTTACTTTTAACGACGAGGTGCATATTGATATACTTTTTATATAATTCGATAAAAATTTACTTTTGATGACGGGAAGTAAATTGTTCCACATAATTATGAAACGTGGACAAACTCCTTGAAAATGACGATATCATGAAAATCTGGCTATATTATATAATAAAACATTTTTTAAAATTATTCTTTTGGCATTATATTATCTATTTACACAGCAAGAGATTCTCAATTCTTTTGTAATATATTTTAGGAGTATTAAATCTCTCCTAGAAAAAAAAATGTATCCATTTGACTTTGTGGTAACTTGTTTGTCTAATTTCATATAAACATGTTTTTACAGTTATGCTTTCTTATTGTATTATATCTTTGTTTTAACAATTTTTTTTTTGAATGTCTGTATTTTATGATATTTACTCGTAAAGATAGGGACCCTTTTTAAAAATAGTTATCCAACATCCAAGGATCATAATTATTTAATGTCCATGTGAAATTTCCCTTTACATGGTGTTACATGCAGTGAACAAAATTGTCTCAAATTCATTATGTTATTTAGTATGATTTATTTAAACTATTTTAGATTTGGACTCGAAATATTTATATCATTTTTTAAAAATCCTTTTAAAACTGTTTTTTTGTGCTGAATTTTTCGTCCTGCTTCGGCAAAGTTTGTTTTACGCTCTGTGCATCACCTGATTCATTACGATTCTTGTTTGTATGCCATCAGGGGTCAAAGTGGAGTAAAATTAAACTTTGAATTCTAAAAATCTCTCTACAAACCCAAATGGATGAGCAGGGACAATGTTTGGGTTGGTTGCCTTGGGGGAGGTCTCATAAACTGGTGCACTGCGAATTCTGTAAATGACATGAAAATCTCTCTATTGCTCTCCGGGATTGCTCTCCACTCATCGTCACTTCTCTAATTCATTTTATCTTGCTGTTCGTCAATCCCTCTCGCTCAGTCTCTCTTCCTCCTTCTACTTTCCCTTCACTTTATCACTTCATCTCACTACTGCTATTCTCTTGCTCTCCCATCTCCCCGCTCTCTCCCTCCCCTCTCTTTCTATCTCTCTCTCTCTCTCTCTCTCTCTCCCTCTCTCCCGCGTTCGTGCGTTCTCCACTTTATCACTCGGCCTCCCTCACTCTCTTTCCCCACCGCTCTCTATTTACCCCGTCTCCTTTGAACTTGAGTTCTAGCGTTGCAAATATTGACCAAAATTGTCTCATAGCTATTTATACCGAATCAACTGTGTCCTGAAAAAAAACTGGCTGTGTTGATCCTCTAACATGCTTTTGCATGCACACCCCCTGTGCACACCCTCGTTTATCCAACATACCACGGACCTACCATGAATAGACACAGTCGTCCATAGTCATTTCGATATACTCACTATTACTTTATTTTCATTTGATTTGGAACCTCTCCTGTTCAGTAGGCCTTCCACATTAATCGACAATATTCTACGCTTGCTTGGTGATTATTTGACGATTTGTTCGCGAATTCGTTCTCGATTTAGTTGAAGCTACAATGGCAAATACTAACACAACAGTGGTGGTGCAACCCATGCAACCCCAGACCCAACATGTGATCGTCCAACAGACCAACCAGCCCAATGCATGCCGAGCTGCCATACCGTCTATGCACATCGCCATGGCCGTCACATGTTTGATTCTCAATATCTTTTTGCCTGGAATAGGTAAAGAAAATCTGTTTTGTTTTGTTTTCTTTTCATAAATTGTACATGTTGATTGTACTATCTGTACGCTCTAAAAGATATAGCCCTCACCATCCCGCAGAATTTGAAAACCTCTTTCATCTTTATCAAATTGAGAGTGAGGGGGTAGGGTCCGGAATAACGGTCTTAAAGATATTTTCCGATGAGGTGGTAGTCATAAGGGTTAGTATTGGGGAGTAATTGTACTCTTAATACATTTGTCCGGGGATAATTGTCCTAGAAAAGGTTGTCGTCTGAAGGTAATTGTTCTTGGAGTTGTTGTCCGAGGGGATGATTATCCGCGTATTAGGGCAACCACCCCGAGGACAAGTACCCCCGGACAATTACCCATGGGACAATTAACCCAAGGACAATATGATATCCCTATAGTCAAGGGCGGCGATCCCGGTCTGGGGGAGGGAAGACGGGAGGGACACACCCCCTCTCAATTTTTGTAGTAAATTTGAAAAATACAAGAAAAAAAAATGTATAGCAAATACTGACTAAAGACTGCAACATACTTTTAGGCTCTGGAGGGCCCAAGAGTGCAGCGTTTAGAATAATACAAATGCAAACATCTTCTCGCTCGGTCGCTACGCTCCCTCGCATGATATCCTTCAAATTGTACAAGTAGATATGGTCGAAAATCTGTATTCCGTTGGTAACACACTGTACATGTAGCGCTGATAAGGAACGAAACTTCTTATGAGAGTCAAGAGTCCTCACCAATATACCAAAGTGCTGTTATTTTGATATTCAGAAGCTGATAAATAACTTGTTGACATTGTTTAAGAGCTGATACCAGTATTATCAACATAATCTTCAATCTTCATACTGAAGGGAAATTATTTTAAAAATCCCAACTTGTGTTCGGAGATTTTAACATAGAGGGAGAGAGAACTTCAGAGAAGTGAATATTATCACGAACGACCATGTATATTTAGGTTTTCCTGTCCATTTTAACACATTTTCAATCAATTTCTATTTTCATTCAATTTCGTCCCGAAACTTCCTTATAGCGTACATTTCATAGTCAATTTCGACAAGATGTTTCACTTGGTTGATTCCACTGTTCGCAGGAATTAGTGCAGAGAGAGAGAGAGAGAGAGAGACAGAAGTGAACACTCTCGCGATTAAAGGAAACCTCACCCTAAAAAATATGTGTAGGTATTCTGAAAAATGAGATATATTCCTGCCCTTTGATGTACAATATTGATCCTTACGAAATGTACATGTACAAGAGATGTATAAATTAAGATATTTCTTGACATGATGTGATGCATTTCAGCATGACTCATAATTATGCACAGCCATTTTCTTGAAATTGTGACGTACCAGTTGAAATTGTACATATATCATGCACCAAGCTTTAGTTGGAAAGAATTCTTAAATCAATTAAAAAAAAACTTTATTTTTCAATGAGGAAAATCATAACTGAGAAAATAAAAATTATATTTGGTGAAAATGATACATTAGGGGACCAATTGTAAGTAATTCCTTTAAATTACTAAAATATAGCAGTTGATGAATCTATTTCATTCATGAGAAACCTTCACCCCATGAGAGCACCAACTTATTCATGCAATTTGCGTTCTGACAATTGTAGTACAAAGAGTAAAAGCAGGAGAATGAAATGCTTCAACACCAAACACATCACCTGGGAAGGAAGCATCCATAAATTTGAATAAATTTACTTGATACACCACGTCATATAGTACGTCACGTTATCAAGAAAATGGCGATGCCCTGCCGTGCTGAGAAACTGTACACTATTCTTGCTTTATGCCTCTCTCATACCCTTTGGTGGGGAATCTTGTAGATTAATGGGCAAGAATATAATAAATCTCTCAACATAAGTAAAGTTATTTCTTGGGGTGAGGTTTCCTTTCAAATGACTAGGAAACATTAACGAAGGTTGATGAAAAAATGCGTAATTTTTGTATGAAACATCACTTATTACATTCCCGTTTACTGTACTAACCCTCTAACATGCAACAAATCCTTTAAAAATTCTCAAACCTCAAAGATATTTATGGTTTGCTTTGAAGGCGTCACTGTGCGACACCCTCTTATTCTACAAACCATTTTGGAATTTTCCCAACCGTTTTTCAATCAGACATAAGACAGGCCTTAAAAAATGTTCAACACTTAAATATCTGGAATGGTAAATAGAGCCAATTCATTGGTTTGTGGCGATTTACATTCACCTAAAATGAAATAAAATTGTAGAAGTATAGTTGGGCGAATTAAGGAATCGATCAAATCAGTTTCCCCCAATTTTTATCATTAATAATGGTTTGTTTTTACTCAAACTTTCAGATTATCTTTAACTGTACATCTAGAATTGAAGTCACTACCACAGTACCATTTTCTTCCATCTGAACAATTTTACCGAGTCCCTTTAACGACGATGTATATATTGTTATTATCTGTTCATCTCTACAATGCCATTCAAATATTTTGATGACAATAAACGACTCCGTGGTACTATTTTCAGTTAACGTCATTCAACATGTCATCAGATAAATGATCTTCAGTACCGGGTATAATAAAAACTGAATTTGAACCCAGGGCCATAATCTCTCTCTCTCTCTCTCTCTCTCTCTCTCTCTCTCCCTCCCTCTCTCTCTCTCTCTCCCTCTCTCTCTCTCTCTCTCTCTCTCTTTGTCGTTGCCTTCCTTTTCCCCCTCTTACTTTTGTTTTACTTTCCCACTATCTGTAATTTATTCTCTATTTATACCGTTGTAGTTTCCTGTTCCCCTGTTCCCATGTTCCTTTCTTGTAAATTTATTTGATGCGTTTGTGTCTGATCATGTCATTCATCATCGTATAAGTCTCTGCTAACTCATTTTCACCCCGATGCAGGAGAAGTATGTGGTCATAAATTTTCAAATTATGAATTATAATTATCTTATCATTCCACCTTTACAGATTAATCTATTTTCTCCTTCTGTCTTTTTTCTTCAAATGCTTTTGTATCAATTACATAAGTTTATAATTACCTTTATTTGAGGTCCATATTCTATACAAGCCCTGCTTCTCAGTAGATCCCTCTATTTCCACATTTTTACTTTAAAAAAGCGAACCATAACTTACACCAAACATGTACATATTATTTTGTAATTCAATTAATGATTTGCGAAATTCATAATTTTAATGTACATTGATTTGTATGATTTCTTGTCGCAGGTGTTTATATTGATTGTTCCGTTGGAAATGAAAATATAACTGAATAATGAAACACTGTCTAAAATGCTGTTAAATTTATTTACTTCCTGGAGGGTAATCAATGTTGGTAATTGGCATCTTATTCAAAGTTGGCATCTGATAGAAAAGGTAAATAGTTAAAATAATGATTCTTGTGTGGTGATTTAACTTCGCAACATTGTAGTTCAAGACCTTATAAAAGCAAATATGGTTACAAAAAAAAAAGCATTTTCTTCACATAACTCATACACCAGTTAAGCATAAACAACAACAACAAATTTATGAGCACAGTCTAAAGTAGGCACACTCCTTCGCTTCTAGAAGTCATGTTGCCTGCAGCCGGATGTCAAAGAGGTAGTCTAGAAGAAGGATTATTTTCGTCAATGCAATGTGTCCATAATTGTTTTCCTTTATTATATGCTTGCGGATGGATAAGTATTCATCAGTGTTTAGACCATGGTGTAGTCACTGGTAAATTATGATGGTAGGAAAAAAACTCTGATAAACTTCGGGATTTTTAATAGTTAAAATGTATTTTCACTGTATGCAAACTGTCAGAATATGATAGTCTACCTAAAATTCTGTCAATAATATGGGCCAAGGGCGTAAAATTGATAACACGCTACAAATTAATGTGCACACATAGGTTAATAACGTATCAATTTAGTAGGCTATCAATGCTTTAATCAACGAATTAATTCCTTGAAATGCTAGCGCTTTAATGGCGGCTAGGCTTAAGCCAGGGTACTATTTTATGCGCCTCGGAATAGAATTTCTAGATAGACGGCGCTATAGAAATGCCTATAATTGTTATTATTATCAATGACACGGAAGGCAATAGTTATTCTATACTTGCATGATATCTCATACCGTACACTCACTCATATTGTCATTCTCGTCAAATCAATATAGGAAGAGGCGGTAGGCCTATAAGGGGACATGGTTATTGCATGTGAAGATATTTATAAAAAATAGCCTCCAACCCCCAAAATAATAAAAACAACGACAACAACAACAAACAAACGAGAGGAAGAAGATAAGGCTATAGGCTCTGCTGAATTTTACTCATCCCAAAATGGACAGTATTCTTGCTCTATCGCTCGCTCACTCGCACGATAATAAACAACAAGTGAATATTTTCAATTTGCTGTAAGAAAATTGTAGGCCTATGTATTCATGGTACAGGTATATATACCCACACGTAAATGGGTTTCCTTTTGAACCCTGTATTTGCATGATAGGATTCTGACGACATTAATTTTATGGGAAGAGAGTTAAACTTTGTTTTTAGAGGGACCCCCAAACGTATATAGACTTAGGACAATATGCAGGAAAGTAATCAAAGTACGACCAAAGTTCATACCAGCAACCCTTTCATGTAAATATAACAGTCCAGTCTAGCACAAATATTACAGAGAAAATATATTTCGTTCCAAGAGCTTTATTGTATGCTTTACGATATTTGCTTGAAGTTGAAAGTGTTTACATATTAAACATTTCATATTAGAATAACAAGATGAAAAGGTCTCGTTTAACAAGTAAATGATTAATCTTTAACATGTTCAAAGGAGAAAGTAAGAATAAAATATGGTTGAGTATGAATGATATGATAATAATAGCTATTCGGCAGTGTACCAGCTCATCTGATAAACAACACCACATGGGGTATTAAGGTAAATTATGCAGTCTAAAAGTGAAAATTAATGAACAATTTACAAATTGTTATGAATTAACGGCAGTTTTCTATGGAATTAACTATTGGGATCCACATACTTTCAGTGTAATTGTGGTTCCTTTCTTACTAATTTCCCCTCGATTTCGTTAATTCTCTCAAAAACACAGAAAGAGAAGACTCTGATGTTCTGATCATATCGAAGAGTGACTGTAAAAAGAAAAGGGGGACATGTCAATTTGTTTTATTGACAAAAATATACACGTAGTATATTAAAACTGTTAACGCGTTATTGAACTATACATTATATCATATGATTCAGTCGTTCTGGAATACCACCATAAATTCCGATATCTTAGTAAAACATTCACCCCCTATTAGTTGCAAGAGTACAAGTTCGAAATTCACTTTCTTGACATTTACAAACAATCCGTTTTATTTTTAGGCACTATTGTGGCAGGTTTTGCAGTCTTTTGTTGCGCTAACCCGGGACAGAGTGATGGGGGTAAGGTGGGCACCTTCTGCTTGAACTTCTGGGTGGGGATCCTGCAACTCTTCCTCACTTTATTCCTGGTCGGATGGATATGGGCCATCATCTGGGGTACCGTCATGATTGCTATGTCAGGTAAGCTCATTTGAATAAACCTTTACAAGTACAAACAAAAAAGAAATAATAATTCTTAAATAAACTAGATAAGCCAGCAAGCACAAGGGAGGAAGTATGTCAATATTAGTGAGAGAGTCAATGATCCACGAGGTGATTAGAAAGTATCTATGGGCTAGTATAGATTCCAATCATTAAAATAGGGACCAAAAAACAAAGTGGAAAAGTATGGATGGGTCGTTTTCCACTTCTGTGTTTAGGAAGTATGGCAGTGGGAGAAAGAGCCTTAAGTAAGAACACTCAAAATCATTTCCATGTATACAACAAATCTTGGTACTGTATCATTTCCAAAATGCAAAATGTAATGTCCAGTTTCTGATAATTCTTAGCCACAAATTTGACGAAATAGGTGGGCATGAAAGTGTCCAGTTTCGGTTTGCTAAAACCATTAGGGTTCTAATTCTTATCCATTATTTTGTAATACAATATATTATATCTGCATGATACAGTATATGATTTCAGTAAATATCTTATGAAAGTAACATAGGCGTATGACGTATTTTGAGAGAACTTGTTCTTGATTGCTTCGGGAAAAAACATAATCTTTTGCAGCCGACTACCACAACCCCGGGACGCTCACAACAATGACCACTGGAACAGTGGTTACCAATTCCACTGTGGTCAACACACAGCAGATGCAAGTCACCCAACCGCCACAACAAGGCTACAACCAACCGCCACAACAAGGCTACAACCAACCGCCGCAACAAGGCTACAATCAACCGCCACAACAAGGCTACAATCAACCACCGCAGCCACCGAGTTATGACATGGGAGCACCGCCACAAGAGAAATATTAAGTTTTTTTTTATCGTCATTCGTGTTGCAAGAATCAGAATGCCATTAGTCTGCATGAATATAACGGTTTTAGACATAATACACGATGATGCACAGCATGGGTAATTTTTGATTAATAACGTGGATTTGATAATAAGATGTAGTTACAATTAAAACTCGAACCAACTCTGTATTGCATAACAACTATACCTAAAAGATTGAAATGACCATCTGACCCTGCCGAATATATAGATATGTTTGTATAGTATTCTGATTGTCTCTAAATGTTTCACAGATGCCTTGTATTATAAAAGATTTTCATTCTAACAATCAGTAACTATTTTCGAAGTATTATCTGTTAGTCTCATCATAATTGTTTCCTAGCCTGCTTTATCTAACCCGTCGTGTACTTCATCTCGTTATTATATTGTTCGTTGTTTTACTCTCTTACGTTTGCTGATATGTAAAGGAAAAGGGGTATAGGATTATTTTCAAACTACCATTCTTTAGTTAAGTTCACCATGTCCATCCCGTAACTCTTCTTTCAGTTTCAGTTTGTATTTAATTTTTCAACGTTCAGCATGATCAGGAAACATGACAGGACCTGTATACATCTTGTAAATATCGGTAAATTTTAGATAAACTTTTTAAGATTAAATTGAAAGATTGTAACTCTGAAATATTCTCATTTGATACACCATTGATTTCATATCAGTATTTATAAATCGTATATCACCTCATTATAATCCATACAACGTGACAAAAACAATAGTATAAGAAACCCTAACGTAAACTGACAACACGTTATTCTTGTGTTTGAACTTGTCTCGACCTTTCTAAAATTATAAATAACATACATGTATATTATATTCATGAGCACTAAGTATCGTACAATTATATTAGACTAGACGTTTAAAGTTTTAATGTATATGAAATTAGGAAGGATATATAGAATAAATTTCATCACGTCTCTCAGTGAGCGATAATAAATGATGATTTCATGATTTTTAACAAGCATTTGTAATATTTTATAATCTTATTTTGTACTAATTTTGTGACATATTGTTAAAGCTTATCTTGATAAGCATAAAGACCTTGACGTAACAGGGGTTGTGTAAACAACATTTTACTTGTTCGCATTTTCCTCCTACAAGCTTTAAATAAGACAACCGCACTATTATATGTGTAATTAAGAATGTATTATTTCTATGTATCTTTCCTTTTAAGGGTGTTAGTGTTTGTATTTTGTGTAGGCTCATCTACCTACAAGTTTCGGTAAATTTTTGATGATCAAAGCACTTCCTTATTTACTTTAGTGTATTTTCCCTGTTATTGTCTTTTTTTTATTTTTTATTTGTGAGGAATATATTTATGTACTCTTTGACTTTTCATGTTTTTATGAAAGTGATAAATAAATTCCATTCAGTTAATATGTTCTGAATTGTAAGCCAAATATGTTTGCGTGACATCGTCATGGAGGGGGTGGGAGGGGGTGGGTGTCGACTCTGAACATTTATTGTCCATCTCTTCAAATTGAAAAGGTAAGCAGTATCAATTACCAAAATTTATCTATCATTTTTCATAATCCTTGTAAGAAGTCTAATACCCATCTTACCCATTCTGTTAGATAAAACATACACAAATGGTAATGAAAGGATATTTTTTTTTTTTTTATCCAAAGCAAACAATTAATCATTTATCTTCTGTAACTATTTTTTATTCTCCTACTTTATTTATTTAGCAATTAAAGTATTTGAAATAATCATAAATACAAAAAATGAAGATTGATTGAAAAATTGTACTAGTATTTAGTAATTGATTCATTTATTACATAACTTTCAATTCCTATTCTAGACTGCAGAGCCTGAATTACCTGCAACGTTATGCTTCTTATGAAACATCAGCCAGCCTACAGATAGAAGCTCCCTTTTCCAGCTTTAAGCAAGAGGAACCACAATGAGATACAGATCTTGATATCATGGACTGGTCACTTTTTACAACCAAAACTACTTGTAAAATAAGATTTGCAAATTAATTCCTATAAGCTATTAAAAATGCTCTAGTCAAGGTACTAAAATTTTGCAATCGAGTTTGAGGTTTTGGGTTTGATAAAATGTTAACATAAAATATTTTAAAGGAAGTAAACGTTTTAATGATACTTCCAAGATTTCCTATATTTTAAACAGAAATTTAGAATCTTGCAGAAGAAAAGAGAAGAAATAAAAAGCTATTATTCTGTCATGGAGGTTATTGTTACCAAACTCACATTACATAGATAATTTTGTTCATGGCAATAAATCTTAAAATATCAAATTGGAATTTCTTAATTAGCAATTCATCTGAGCAGCAGTTTGATGACCTATTTGGAACTCTTCCTAGAGGCACTTCTTGCATGACTATGTATCGATAATTACCTGTTGGTGCTTAAAGTGCTATTGTAGCAATTGCACAACAACAAATACAAAATAAATAACAGAACATTGAGTGAAAACAGATTTTTCCTGCAGGAAATATATTAACTCTGACTTATGTTGTCCTTAGAATTTTTTGTCAAAGCTGATAGAAAAGAATTGATAATTAATTTCATATAGACAAACTATTGCATCAAGAAACCACATTCTCACCGACTGCGTGACCTTACATGACAACCGGGAGGTCGTGGGTTCGAACCCCGGCCGCGTCATACCAAAAGACGTTAAAAGATGGGAGTTGTTGCTACCTTGTTTGGCGTTCAACAATAAGGGATAGAGCAACGTCGATCTGGCGCTGCTCAGTGGCTGCCGGGCTCACCATCAATTGGGCAAAAAGAATTTCCGTTTCGGTTTAATAAAATTTGGAGTGGACTATTAGGCTATTATTATTATTATTATTATTATTATTATTATTATTATCACGTATATCATCCTTAGATTAACAACCGTATGAGTAACAGAAATATTTGTGACAAGTATTACTCTTTTAATCTCCATAAAGGTAACTCAAATAGAGAGTGGCAGATATCAGCTGCATAGTTTTAACAACTGGCTGATACTTTCATAGGAGCACTTTTATTTGTGTCATTTAAAATATTGTAATTGTATCCCTTGAATGTGTTTGCTATGCTCATCATTTACAAAATGTAGATTTCATTCATTAAAGCATAAACATATTGATTATACTTTAAAATCTGTGTTAATTTTATTTTGTATGTATTTTTTGTCTTTTAAGAAGATAAAGGGGGGGGGGATGAATAGATGAGATTGTACGCTAGCGCATGGTGATAATAATTACATGATGATAATGGGCAATGATGTGATTCAAGAATAGTGTGTTTGTATGCTGGTGAGTTATTGTTATAAGTTGGTGTTTATTTATTCATTTTTGTTCTTTATTTATTTTTTTGTGGGGGAAGGGGGGGGGGGTGTTCATGAAGAAACAAAATTACGGCAAGCAAAGCGTTGTGATGGGAGTGTCGTTTTATGTTAATGAGAGAGAGAGAGAGAGAGAGAGAGAGAGAGAGAGAGAGAGAGAGAGAGAGAGAGAGAATATGAACGAAATAAGGACACATAATCGTCGCTGTTCTCACGAAGTGACGGTAGTGAAAAAAAATTGCATTCACTTTGCGTTACGATTTTCCTCACTACCGTCACTTCGTGAAAACAAGGACGATAATTGTAAGCGCATATGGTAAAAAAAATATAGAAAAAGGGGCACATAACAAAATGGAAAAGGGTCACTTCTAAGAAGAAAACAAAAGTTATTAGAAATAACAAGAGGAACTTTCAAACAAAGTGAAACCAGACAAACTACATGAAGGAAAAGTGCACTTGTAATAAACAAAAAGGGATGTTAATCAGATGTAAAAGGGGCACTTAAACCCTATCTAGCATGGGTTATTTTGAAACTGCATAGCCTGGGGGGTCCGGGCCCCCTCCCCTGGCGCTCAAGGGGGGGGGGGGGTGCGATTTTTTCAAATTTTCGAGGCCCCCCCAATAATTTTTTTGTTGATTGTTCACTACCCTCCCCCCCCCCCCCCCGAACGAATTATCGGCCGGCTGTTTCGCTGCTAAATATTGTCTCACGAATTGGGCCCCCTCCCGTGCCGCCGTCTGGATAAGGACCCCCCCCCAGGCTAGATAGGGTTAAGGGGAAAACGGGCCGCCCATGTATTTTTGAAGAAAAAAATGGGCCATTGTGCTCCCACCCTCCAGAGTGCCACATTTGGTATTGATAATGCCTAACTATGATGATTTAAAAAAAAATTGGTTATGAACAAAGATTTGTTCCCCCAAGAACAGAATTCTTCATTTTCAGATGTATGGTCAAATTGAAGCTAGCCGACACTTGCGCCTTTAAAACCAATGAATGCTGAACATAGCATATCAATAATGCAATGAATAAGGATAAAATTAATTTAAAATTGATATGGATCACACTCTAACTTAAAATCGATTTTAAGGCCAAAATCGATTTTATTTATTTAGTGAAACTGCTGCTAAAATCGAAATCAATTTTAGGCCTTTAAAATCGATCAAATCGATTTTAGATCGATTTTAGGACATTAGTGAAACACCCCCCTGGTGACTGTTCTATAAAGACTAGTCACATACCAACATCCTATTTCCACATAAAATGCTGGATTACATGACTCACTTTATGCAAATATCTTTTAACACGTGACCCCGCAACATTACTTTGTCCCTTTGTTTCTGAACACCTTGAGCTCGTGAACCCGCTTGACTCCTCGCAGTCCGTGTCACGAGTTTAACCATCACACATCTCCTCTTCGCCTCCTGTTTTACAGGTAATTTACCATATTTTATATTATACTTAAATTTAAGTAAATCATTATTATCATGTTATATAACTGTGTGCGGTTGTACTGATGTATGATTGGATATGTTCTGATGTTCGCATTTTAGTTAGGAATTTAAGTTAAGAAAGTGTAGCTTTCTTACAACTATTTGTGAAGCGTTATACTGTATGGGTGAATGGTACCCGCGAATATATATATTTCACATTGTATATAACTATCTATTTAGTTTTCTTACTTACAGATATGAGCTAATCAATATTTTGTCGTTTATGAACCACTATTGTGATTCTAGTTAGCATTTGACATATTCTAGTTGGGGAAATATCATGACGATTTTCCATATTCGATTTGATAAGGTTTTGAGAGATTTCCATCTCAGAAGGAGATAACCTTCGATTTGACATAGAACCGGCCAGATTTTGCTAGTCTATAAGTCCGTCCTTTTTTTATAATATGTATCGAGTTATTATGTCGTTTATGTTGTTTAGGATCTAACGATACCATGTCAAGATAATAATCATGTTAATATATGTTCTAATATACCAGGGATTTGTGTGGAATTGGCGTACAACTTTATAATCATTTATCTATGATACATTGGTGTCTGCGTGATTAGACATGTACATTAACACGGTGTGTAGGGAGTAAGCGCATCGTTGAGACGAAAGAAAGGATTACAACTTTTAACTAATAGTACAAGTACAAGTATTACCTTGACAAAGAGGAACTTGGGCTTTTTAGGTTTATTTGTCTCAACTCTGTAATCTGTATAGAGCAGGTACTATAGTATTAGTAGCTGAAGCAAATGTGCTTTAGCCGTCACTATTACATATGTATGAGTGGGTCCTATTATGGTCCAAAAGGTCCAAAACGCTCATCTTTACAGTATGAATTAAGTTAGAGAACAACAATCATTTGCACGATATATGTCCAGTTTACGAAAGCACTATATATTTATCATTCGGTAGTCTCCAGTTGTATATTATTAGTCAGACATGTATAAATCTATTTAGTCTATTCGTATTATGTTAGCTATAGTTTCTTCGTTATAATTAGTTATTACATATTTGTTATCGTCTTGTTTACTTTATTTAAGTTCAGTCGAGTTAGATATTGGTTATCTTCGTAGTTCAGCAGTTATACGTTTCGAGTATTTGATATTAATAGTTATTATACATTATCCATTCTAGTGAATGATAAGTCTTTGTTTGGTTAAATATTGGAAAGGGACATGTTGTTGATATTTACTTTGCCATTTCATCTAATGGCTAAGTGTGGATGTAAACCTATATATTAGTAGGATAGGAACTATAGAAGTGTATTTGTGTTTTGATTTTGTGAGTTTGTTTGTTGAATACGAATATTCAATTATGTTTTATATATATCATTACTTGTTATTAAAAAGGCAGTCCGTGTCACGAGTTTAACCATCACACATCTCCTCTTCGCCTCCTGTTTTACAGACTCATCTCATCTCTATTTTTGGTACCCTACTATTACAAAAGTAACGAGGGCTACAAAAGTAAAGAAACTAGTCACTGAGAAGAAAAGCACGCCCGTGCAACGAGGACAAAATAAGAATAAGATAACAGCCCAGTATATACATCATCCATCTTTCGAAACTAACTACGAGGGTGGCGCTAATTTTCTCTTTCGATTCATAATTAAATAGAAAACAGGATGAGCTCAGAGTTTTTTATGTCGACCATTACCATTAAAACCATTTTTTCTTCTTCCGCGAAATCAGGGGTGGGGGTCTGGTCTAGGTCTCTACTTTTCTGAAGAGGAATGTTGTAATAAGATTGCCAAGGTCTTCATGTCTTTTGTCCTTTCTGCTATTGATTCTGAATAGTTTAGTTGTGTTTTGTGGCTAGGTTTCTATTTCGACATCACCCCCGCGTGAGAACAGTGAAGATATATATTTTCGAGCTCAAGTACTTCCTTATTTCAGCTTTTAATCAACTACAAAGGCGATATGGGCGCGACAAAAAAAAATAACAAAATAGGCTAAAGTTCAGTCGATTGCAACGGTTTTTCCCTCTGGTATTCACGATTGTTCATAAAATTATATAATACTTGTATGTTTAAGAGAACTAGTCCTAACGAACAAAGGAAACTCCAATTTGACTATACTACATTGCGGCGATCATATCCACTATACAGATTGAGTAATGCGTATGTATACGGGCTTGGACCAGAAATTTCGTACAAAGGGAAAAGATCTGACCATTAGCTGCATGTTATAACTTGTAAAGTTGTAAGAGAAATAATGCCGACTATTAATGTTAATGATGAAATAGCAAATAATTTAGGAGTTTCATGGGTACACCAATTCAATGGAAATTTGTATTAAAAAAGAGCCCCCGTCTGTACTAAAAGAGCCCCCGTGAGAAGGCTCACGGGGGCGCTTTTTATATTGGAAGAGCCCCCGTGGACAAAAAAATTAATTTGAGCCCTGGTGTCGAGTCAGTGAAGCAGTGTGGCAGTGTGGTAGTGTGGCAGATAATGTCTGGTGCATGGATCCAGGTGATATCGTCGCTGTTTTCACGAAGTGACGGTAGTGAAAAAAATTGCATTATTATGATGCACAAGGAGCAAACAATCCCGTTACATGTTAACCGTCTTTTAAGCCCCACTGCTCTACTTATAGCTACTTGCGCCCTCTATATAGCAAACAAAGCCTAATCGGTGCCTGTTGGTCCCCATGATCCCTTTTTTCTCATGTCAATATAGAGCTGATTTAATTAGAATACCACTTGTCACTCTCTAAATTTGAAAGTCTTATTTTTAAATCTTAAAGTCTTACTTTTAAATCTAACAGAGACTGATATTAGTGACGAACCCTTTGGGATTTAAAATAAGTCTAAGCTAAGACTTGAAATTTTAAGTCCCTGAAAAGGTTTAAAATTTAAGTCAATTGGATTTATATTTCAAGTCTTTTAATATTTATTTTAAACCTTTCTTGGATTCATTTCAAAAATAAATCTAAGCTAAGACTTAAAATTTTAAGTCCCTGAAAGATTTAAAGTTTAAGTCAATTGTATTTATATTTCAAGTCTTTTAGATTTACTGGTCTAGCTAAGCCATTAGAACCATTTGGTAAAACTTCCAACCAATTGAACGGCAACAACACTTCAATACTGGTACGTCTGTATTATCAATGTAAAGGCATCGGTAATAAGTAGACTTATACATAATTTAATTAATCGAATTTTTTTTCATATACTTGTATTTTATTGAAATTATTTTAGTTCATAGTTAATGTTTCCCTTATTCATGTTTAATTAAATGGAATTCATACAAAGTAACGAAATGTCCTAATAACTTGTAATTTATATTTGTAGTATTTTCGAAATGAATTGCATATACCTAAATCATCGGTAATTAAGAAATATGCTGTAAATTCAGAAAAATTGTTAAAAAAACATAGATCTGCACGCACCCCATATTCAATATGCAAATTAATTGGTGTCAGCTGGTTCAACTGGAAATATGCCAACAGTCAGTCATCAACAGGTGCAACTGGAAATATGCACATCTTATTGGCGAGAAGTTTAAGTCTTTCCAAGATTTATATCTAGAAGCTGGTTTCGATAAAACTTTTAGTCGAATTCCCAATTTATTAAGTCTTAAAGACTTGAAATATTTTAAGTCTCAAAATGGATTTAAATTTAAGTCCTAGAAATTAAGAGAGCAGTGACCTTGCAAGGAGGTCTAATCCCCTGGCAAACTAGTGCAGACGGGCTTTAAAACCCTATCTGTATTTGCCTGCCAGATATTCACCTTCAGATGAGGGCGCGTTTTTCTGTTCTTTTTTTTTCTTCGCATGTTTGGTCATCCAGAATAACTGGATTAAAAAGAAAGAAATGGAAGATAGGATTAGTTTCTAAGTTGTAAACGTGTATAAGGGGGTAATGGTATAGTTCGTTTTATATTGAAGTATTGGGCCGTAGAGATGAACTAGAGATGTGATGTCCTTGGTAATTTTAATGCAGTGTAATAGTGGAGGTTACAGATTGCTTTAAACTGCAATTATTCAAGCGTAGCTGAGGCCCCTTTTGTGACTTTGTTTTGCGTTTCAAATTCTGTCAGACATAGTACTATTATACAGCAAGCAGGGGCGGATCCACGTGGCGATTTTTCCGGCCCGGGGCCCCCCCCCCCCAGCCCCCCAAATCGGTAAAAAAAAATAGGATAATAACGTAAAATTTAACCTTTTTTTAAAAAACAAAAAAACATCAACAGTAATATAGTGGTTCTTCTCTCCATGACCCCGCCCCCCTGCTTATTTACCGGCTTGATGAATCGCTGCTAAATATTTTCTCACGAATTGGGAAACAAAATGAGTTCTCTCCTCCCCCCCCCCCCACTTATTCACCGGCCAGCTGAATCGGCCCTAAATTTCCCCTCAAAAACTGGAGAGAAAAAAAGTGCTCTTACCCCCCCCCCCCCCCCCCCCGCTTATTCACCGGCCGGCTGGGTCGGCGCTAAAAAAAATTCACACGAATTGGGCCCCCCTCCTGCCGCCGGCTGGATCCGCCACTGGCAGCAAGTGACACTATTCTATGCCGGATAAAGATGGCAAAACCCTTTTTTGTGGTCAGATATGTATGACACAATGCTTGTGCCCCATCTCCACGGTATGATATTACTGGATTAGTATCTGCAAGCTGTCACTTTTAATAATCACTGCACACATCTATTGTGAGCTTTATGGTCAATATTGTCATTTGTAATTCAGTGAAAAATATTCTGTTACGAGAGCTTTATGTAGCAAAGTAATTGCAGCCTCAGTATTGAAGATGACTGTTAGAAAAATGGAAACTGTGCCAATTAAAAAAAAAATTGATGTTAGACAATCCATCATCATAATGTTAAACATAAGTTTCAGAATGATCTCTCTACGGTGTAGATATTTACAGGTGGATTAAACGAGTATATTTTTCATCCAAGCGAATGCATGTAGGTCTATATATAGCGGTGTTCATAGTTTTCTAATATCTTCAACCATAATTGTAAATGATGTTTAAAAACAAAATCTTTAATAAAGTAAAATAATGTAATACTAATTATAATTGCTTATATAGGGCCTAACACTATACTTTATCAGAAGTCTCTAAGCGCTCTACAATAATTCCGCATAATTGCATAGTATATATATATATATATATATGTCTTATACAAAAGAATATCAGTGTTCTTCACTCTTCAGGAGGGCACAGAGAGAGAGAGAGAGAGAGAGAGAGAGAGAGAGAGAGAGATAGAGAGAGAGCGCGAGAACTGAGACAGCCATGCCCTGAAAGTTGCGACAAAATAATATCGAATATCATACGTTGCACAGAAGTCGAAATGGATACTGCATGTACGATCAACTTTCGTATGTAACTGGTTTATTGTGATATTGCATTTACATGTAGGTCTACATGTACAAGTGGTCAACCAGACGGGAAAGCGATCGTGTAGTTCAAAACGATAATTAACAACAAACAGCGCACACGTCCTGTCGTCTGCATAACTTTCTATCACGTCTAATTACAGCAATACCATCCACATCGACCATTGTATTGCAGCAAGATAACATAACCATCGGTGGACATATGTATATACTGTCAATGTTGTAGGGTATATCATTATTGTACCGTCGAAGTAAGTCATGGCACAACAACAAACAACGGTGGTTTTAGCTCCGACACAACCCACGATACAGACTTCGGTGGTGATACACAAGAAAGAAGGCAATGCCTGTCGAGCCGCTATCCCTGCCATGCCGATGGTTATGGCTGTATTCTGTCTTATCTTCAACATTCTCGTTCCAGGACTAGGTAAGTTATTCAAGATTGGATTCCAATTATTTCACTCAGAATATGCCTGATGATAGTAATGTACTGTATACACCACCTCATTTCTTTGGGGGATTAGTATGTTGTCAATATGTATTGTCCTTTTTTGTTTGTTTTTGTTTACTAATTATTCATATAATTACATACAAAGCTACAGCAAACCCTCTAGCAATTCATGCAACTCGCATGTGTGATGCTAACTGCTTATTTATTACAGTGCATGCGCATGTCTATATCACTTATCAGACCAAAGTATATTATGTTTGCAGTCAGAACAAAAACGTCTACAGGCTTGTTTACATAGTACATTACGTGTATGAATTCGTATCCTATTGTGTAGCTTACAGAGTTATGCGTATGCGTTCTATCTACCAAAACTGAATAGAATTTTGCCACGCCTCAAAAGTTTAGAAAAAAGGGACTCGTGGGCCGGGCGTTCGAATAAAGTTTCGTTTCTAAAAGGAAAGCACTGTGTTGAACTCGGGTATATCTTAACTTTCCCCACAAACATTAAATGCAACATTCTTCATTCCTACTGACTTGACTAGAATGACATGTAGGCCTACATGTAATATACAATGCAGGGATGATGATAATGTTATTGTTTGCGTCACCCTTCAGATATTATTGCGCGTTGTAGTTGTCATGTCAGATCGTTGATTCTCACTGACAATGCTTTTCCATGCAATCACAGGAACTAGGTTGATTAGAAGAGCACACAGTCCTATTGTTATGACATATCAAAAGTAAACTGGTTTGTTTGTGTATACAGTTCTTGTTGTAGAGGAGTTATATTAATATCATGTAGAATGCATACGTATAGCATATTCATAATTTCCTGCACAGTTCTACATAAAAATTTGATGCTGGCTGCAAAAGGGATACACTACCTTTAAGCTAGAGCTTGAACGTGATGACGTGAGAGCTGGCAGAGCTGAACATGAGAGCGTGAAGATTGATTGTTAAATATGGGCATTGATTATAAATCATGTTATTGTTTCATTGGACTCTGAACTCACTGAAATCGATGAAAACAAGGCATACCCATGTCAAAAGCATACATTATTAGCATTTGTTTTGCCAAAGTTCGTTCCTATATTAGCATAGCACGGTAGTTGGACCTACTATAGTGTAATCGCTATTTGTCAGGAACACTAAACCCTGCGGCTCATGCCAGGAAGAAGTTAACGAAGTTTCCATGGAAACGAGAAGAAAACCCTGTTCGTCTGCTTTGCACTGCCATAAATAAATAGTGGATAAACGTTTTCTCGTAACAGACCAAAAAGCTTTTCATTCACATAAACGTAAAACAGTTTAACCCAACAAAATCGTACTCTATACAAAATTATGTAGGCTAACCTTAAAAAGGGCATATTCGAGCCTGTTTGTCAACTTATAATGATATAGTGTGAACTTTTTGTTGAAATTTATAAGAAGTTATAACTTAGATCGATGAATCAGGGACTATTACTCACATGCTTTATTTTCAAAGCCTATAATAGGAGATGATAAGCATGCTAAGGCAAGAGCCTTGGAAACGAAAACTGAGGGAAATGATTCATTGTTACCATGGTTACAACAGCGAGGTTAAAGTGACTAAAATATTCATATTTCGTGCGGGGAGGAGCAGCTATTATGATCTTCAAGAAAAGAATATAACCACACGAGTGGATATAAGATCTAAATAGAATTAACCTTTTATTTATAAGTATTTCGTTAAATGTGCAGTTTAATAATTATTATTTCAAATTTTATGAGAGTTTTGATCTGTTTTATTTTTTATATTGCTCTCATCACCCTTTCGCATTTTATTTTCTCTATCGAAATATTGGCAATAATAACTACAGTGTATGTTATAAGAAATATTATTTTGCTCTTTTTCATGATTATCCTAATATTTTTTTTTCTTCTTCAAAATGTACTGGTTATGGTTTTGACCGTGGGCCCTACATCGAGAATGAAAGGGTAACAACCCCAAAAGAAGAAAAAAAAGTGCAGAAGTTTCAAACGTGTGAACTAGTCATTTCCCAAACATCCCAATTTCCCAACTTGACATTTAGCCCAAGCGTGAGATCACAGAATCAAAGAATTTTGAGAGTCGGCCCTTCTCTATCTCTCTATTTCCTATAATTTTCCTCTCTCTGATTGGTGTTTGTTTTTGAAATTGACAGCACGGCCTCTTTTTTTTTCTTTCCATTTGTGTAGGTACGATCATCGCTGGATTCTCTGTTTTCTGTTGCGGCAATCCAGGGCAGTCGGGATTGGGCAATTGTGGAACTATGTGTCTCAACTTGTTTGTGGGACTCCTCCAGTTGGTCTTAACGGTCATCTTCGTGGGCTGGATCTGGTCTATCATGTGGGGAGTCGCATTCATCGGCATGTCACGTAAATAAAAATTGCATTTATCTAGATTTAGATTCCCTTTTTTTGTATTATTTTTTAAATCTTTTATTTTTATATTTCCATAACAATAACAAACAAAAGTTAATATGTAAATGACAGAAATCATATTACAGTGGCATTTACATAATACCACTGTTCTTTCTCTTAGTCCTCTTCATACTTGCCTTACATCCCTTGCACATGAGGTGCCATTTCTACTTAATTTTTAAGCCTACACATAATTTGGTGCGCCAATAATTCACCGCAAGAATAGCACTGTTTATTTTGCATTCACATGGTGCGTTAAAGACTGAGACTGTCTGTCGATGCAGTCCTACGCCATCATTTTAGCATCTTTAACCTTTAACCTTCTCCGTTTTCCTTGTTTTGATATAGGTGTAGGGCTACTTAATAATCCTCTTTGCGCATCGAGCGTCATAAAGCTGACGTTACTAAAATGTGTCTCTGGTGATATTTGATTGAAATTTACAAAGCCGCGATTATTGAATTATCTTCTGTCCTTAAATACAGTAGACACGAAAATACAGAAGACACGAGTTTTTATGATGTATACTGCACATTATTACATGCAGCAGATATGTCAAATCACTGAACATCAATCAGTCACACAGGGAGTCCGTTATCACTGGTTATAATGATGTAGACTTCTAGATATCTATTTTACTCTAAAGTAGAAAGGAATTAAAGAATTCAGATGAATTTTATATGATATTTTTTCACTCATCATGTCCGTTCCTACTTCATGTCTAGCTTCACATGTAATCTTCATCATGGCTTTTCTTTCTCTACTTATGGTCTTTAGACGATTATTCTCAGACTAACAAAACCACCACCACGCTCGTAACAACCAGAAGCCCAGGACCTCAGGCACTCACGGTCACTCAAACACAACCACAACCACAGTCTCAGGCATATTATCCTCAACCACCCCTACAACATGGTTATCCGAACCAACATCAGGGTTACGCCCCTCCGCCACAGCAGGGTTACGCTCCTCCCCCACAACAAGGCTATGCACCACCCCCTCAACAAGGTTTTGCCCCACCCCCACAACAGGGATATGCCCCTCCTCTTCAAGGAACAGCACCGCCAATGGATAGTAACTTTCCGCCACAGAATTACTCGCAACAACCTGCCTACAACCCTTACAACCAACCGGATCAACAACAGCCTCCGCCTTATACCGCCAGCGAACTTCCTCCCAAGAAGTCATAATACTGGATGGAAATGTTTGTATTTTTAAAAGGATGTTCAATAATAGATCATTGCCTTCAAAACTAAAGCTTCCTTCGTGTTCGTGATGATGTTACAAGTAAGAAGGGATTCAGAGAGAGAGAGAGAGAGAGAGAGAGGGGGAGAGAGAGAGAGAGAGAGAGAGAGAGAGAGGGAGGGAGCGAGAGAGAGAGAGGGAGAGAGAGGCATGGTATCAATCACCGGCTTCATTATCAAACGATCGTAATTCATCGAATCACGTGACTGTAATGCACCTCTTCCGACTTCAATGGTAATAGAAAGCTTAATTGGACAGATGCGTTTATCATTTTGGGGTATTAATGTGTGAGTTATACAGAAAAAGGACTAACGGCAGACAGTGTTTCATACTAGCTCAATTATATTAATGTTTATAGGCTCGCAACATCCATCATCATCGAATGTAATAACAGAAATGTCGATCACTCATTCTTAATGGCGTAGCTATGTCTAGGGTATGGGGAACTTGCCCTAATAATCAAATGGCGAAACAAAAACAAACAAACATACACACAAGGAATGAAAGGAAGAAAGTGAGAAGCGGAAGGTAATGTAAACGAAGATGACAGGACCCACCCCCGCCCCCGCCCCTCAATGAATGGACCCTCGCTATGCCACTGCTCATAATAGCGAGTTCCGTTGTTTTTACAGGGTATATTCTCTACCTCTTCGTCCACGGTTTCTCTTGTGTCTCTCTTCCCGTCTTTGTCTGACTCCAATCCTCTGCCTCTCTCACACACTCTCTCTCTCTCTCTCTCTCTCTCTCTGCCCTCCCTCACAATAATATTTAGCAACAATTTACTTTCTTTGTCTTGCAGTAGTTTACTATGTTACGGTAGCAAATTAATTTGTTGATCGAAATTATATTCTACGCATGTCTAATTTTAACTAATTTTAATTTAATTTTTTTTTATGATATCGTGAACTGAACATTATTCATTTGTTCTGCGTACAAAAGGATTGTTTGAAGAAATTGAAAGTTAGAATATAAATATATGTATTTTGCCTATATATTTTGAATAAATATTTTATCATTACTAAGTAAATTATTTAAAAATGTGCCATTTGTATTACCAAAGACTTTGAAATCATGTTACAGATAAGAAGAAAGGGTATGAGCATTGAGATATTGAGACAAAGAAGAAGAGGGATACGGGAGTCAGGTAGTCAAAGAAAGAAAGGGAGAGAGAGAAGGAAAGGCAGGGAGGATACAAATTAGTCATTAAATGATTAATCATTTAGACCTTACGGAAAATAGACGAAATGGGCAAAAACTGGGAATTAGACTAACTGGTTATTAAACTAAATGAACAATAAACCAAATGGATAGTAGAATAATTTGAGATAAGCCCAAATGGAAATTAGACCAAATGGCTTTCAGCCTAAATGGTCATTAGACCAACTTATGAGAAGACGAAATGGTTATTAGACCATGTGGATAGTAGACGGACTGTTGGTAGACAATACGGGAATAGACTAATTGGGTAGTAGACGAACCGGTTGTAGACCAAACATCAATTCGCCCGTTACATGACTGTAATCGAATCGAATTGAATTGAATTTATTTCCACAGAACATGAAATAAAAGTGTACAATCAAATGAAGTAGAGGGATAACAAAAGTATAACTACCACTATTTAGGTTAATAGATTATACTGCTGTATTACGATAATATCCATTATTTTGTAGATATAAAATGATGGTGCTAAGTATGAGAAATGATATTAATATGATGATAACTTTTAAAAACACAATCCAAGTATACGCCTCCTTTGTTTACGCCGACTGCTACATGAATGATGATGGCGCTGTGACGCGTTCGGGATATCACAAGAAAGAGTTTTTGTATCCCTTTATCATGTTCATCGAGTTCGGAAGAGGAAATTTGATCTATTTTCAAAGAGTATTTATGGTGGTGTCCTCATCAATTACCATTACATCCAACCATTGACCTTGATTTGATTTGAATTGATATATATATTTCCGTTTCAATATGAACACATTTAAACATGTACAAAGTACATATAAATTCAACAATGACATAAAACAATGTGATAGAATTGTATAAATGAGAAATATTGAAGAACCGAAAATTATAACGAAACATTGTTGAGCTAAATACTATGACACGGAGGGGCATGCTAAAGAAGCAAACCCCTAAAACTTAGTTTCATAATATTTATAGAGAGTTTTGGTATAGTAAGTTAAAACAGTATTACAGATCTTTACGAGCACACTTTAATTTGCTGCCGTAACAATCTGGAAAGAAATTAATTTGATTTTAATCATAGAGCGTACTTCTTTGATGAAACATAAAATAAAGAACACAAATTTGTAAAGGCATCATAGTGGTATACAGCACCAGTAACAGGCAGTAAGTGTCTGCGAGTAATCTGATACATGTTCCGGGGACGTTTGCTCCCCGTGTCGCTTTGTCAAAAATAGGGTAAGGAATATAAGGGTCGTGGTTTGGTTTTTAGGTTATGTAATACGGTTTGTATAGTGTCATGGTTGAAATCAGGAATTCAGTTAATGTCAGAAATACTGTTGTCCGCGGAAACAATTATTGCCGGAGCACATTATAAAGTATAAGTGTTGTGAGACTGCTTGAAATGTGGGAACATTATACGGTGATGCTTTACAAAATGGGAAACATGATTTTGGTATATTATATATAATGCAACACAGTGGCGTACGCAGGATTTTTTCAAGGGGGGGGGGGGGGGGGGTGTTAAAATCGGGTCCAAAATTTCGCAACGACTCAGGAAAATTTGAAAATCGCGCCGGCCAAAAAGTCGCTCAGTGGGGGGGGGGGGGGGGGGGGGTAAGCGGACACTTTTTTGTTTTTGTTTTTTTTGGGAGTCCCAAAAAAAAATCGCAACGACTCAGCCAGCCGAAAAGTCGCTCAGTGGGGGGGGGGGGGGGGGGGGGGGGGGGGGGGGGGGGGGGGGGGGGGGGTGGGGTGGGGTAAGAGGACACTTTTTTTTGTTTTTTTGGTCTCGAAATTTGAAAATTTGACATTTTGCTCCGTTGGGGGGGGGGGTAAGGTTACCTTTCTTAGGTCAGCCATGGGGGCAATTTTTTTTTTTTTTTTTTTTAATAATTTAAAAAAAAAAAAAAAAAAAAAGTGTCCGCTTACCCCCCCCCCCACTGAGCGACTTTTTTAGGGATTTTTTAGGGGGGTTTACACACATAAAAATACCAAAGGGGGGGGGGGTTTAACCCCCCAAACACCTCCCTGCGTACGCGCCTGATGCAACATCTTGTGATCGTGTTTACGATAGTTTGCTATCATCCTTTGATCAAGCGTATGGTTTCATCAAGCGATGGTTGTGGTTTATCTTCTATTGTCTCGGGTGGACAGTTCGGTAACAGAACATCTTGATCAGGAGATGGTAGGGTTTCTTTCTCTTCTGGAATTCGACTGAGCAGTAAACAAAATGGTGAAGACACGAGAATGGCTATCGATAAGCTCCACATAGTCCTGTACAACACAATGCAATACAAAAAAAAGGTAATTAGACTTCAGTTACGGTTGGTGGTACGTCGCAATTAAAAAGACGAAGAAGGTGACTGAAAATAAAATACAACTCTCTCAAATGTCGTATCAATAAATTGTTTCTAAAGACACGCTAACAATGCGCAATGCCACTTGTACTCATAGTTTAAACGCTCTTTCATTAATAATAATAAATCACATTTATAAAGCGCTTAATACAATGTTTTTAAACGCTCAACATATCAAGGCACAACGTAAACTAAACATACAGCAATAATAATACATAATTCTAATAATAACATTACAGATAATTAAAAACTTACTTTAAACAAAACTGCCCTATAAATTACTATAGGTTTTCCCGGCCAATTTCGTAAGAGCAGCAATCAATATCATTAAAGTGCATTCATGTTCGAGTAAATTTTCTCCCCTGTTTCATTTTTAAACTTGTTGCATTCAATTTCGTTTCGAGTCACCGAATTTTCTAAATATGCACATTCAAATTAAAGCTTGGTTCAGTCAATTTGGAAATGCGTAAGGGTCATTCAATTTCGCCAATGTTGAGTGGCAGGTGAATTCTTTGGCGGTTTCATTTTCGTCTATGGGCAACTTCTTTCGCAATCGGGTCATTCAAATTAAAACTAGACCTCATAATCATAGTATGAGGCTCGATGTTCAATCGGATATTCAGTATTTCATGTTCATTTATTTATTCTTTTTCTCTATATCTTTTCTGACATGATTTCACATTACACAATCTTCTTATTTTTCTGATATATTTATATTGTATTTTATGTTTTCTCTTTCTTTCGACATTCTTTATTTTTGTTGAAACATCTCTTTATTCATATCTTCATATTTTTCATTATAAATGCCTTAGGGGTTATTTTTTTAATGGTTTGTTTTGATCAATCTTGATTGAGTAGGTGATCTTTCTTTCTTTTCATTTAACATCTTTTTCTTTATTCATCATTGCATTTTGTTTCCATCATGTCCATGTCTATTAAACCTGAACTCTACCTCTGTCCAAGATCTGTTTATATATAGCTTGTGCTTAAAAAGAAGAGAAGTCATAAATTGTGCACCTTCTCTGGGGACAGTTACCCCCGACCCCCCCCCCCCCCCACCCCAACTCCGTGAACGGATACCATGCGTGTTCCCAAAATGTCCGGTAGTTTCACGCACCAAAGTCCGGCTCGTAGTACACAACAATCCGGCCCGTAGGAGGGAACATGCATATGCGTACCCTAAATAACACTGAATAGGGGAGGGCGGGGGGGGGGGGGGTGGGGCCGGCAGTTACCTGTATAATGACAGAACGAATACGCATGTCATTCCTACAAGTAAACTTTGCATAAAATTATTCAAACATAAGTATATTAAGTGACAAATTAACATCAAATGAAAAACAATGCACAAATGTCACATAATGTATGCCTAATCACGAAATTGAATGCACGAAGTCATACCACCGTCTGTCCGGCGCGAATTTGAATGCTCTTTGCACGCTTTTCTAAATTGAATGCTCGTTTTGCACGTCTCCGTGACAAGAGTATATGAAATCGCATGCTACTAAATCAAATTGAATGACGCAATTAGCTTTTTGAATGTTGATCTACATAGTCATTCAATTTCGCACGAACTTGAATGAACGTTACGTTAATTAGGATGCTGAATTTACGAAGTTGGGCGGGAAAACCTATATTAAACAAAAAATATTTCAAACTTTCCTTAAAAGACTCTACATATATTATGTACATAAGGATTGACGAATACTAGTTCTCTATTTATCTCTGTTTGTCTGTCTATTTTTCCGCTCTCTCTCTCTCTCTCTCTCTTTCTCCAGTCTCCCTCTCACCAAGTAACAGACATTCGATTGAATATTTAGCCAACTTTTTTATTTTCGTTATAAAGTTCTTAAACAAAATCATGTAAAGATTTGGCTTCCGTTGCAAAGATTGACGAATTCTGCATTCTTAAATACTTTGAACATGAATTCATTTATTAACGACTAAATGCATGTCAAATAAACGGCATTATAGAAGTTCCATACAGTGCATCCCAGAATAATACATCGATGTTTTATCATTATTTAATCACAATTATGATTAATAAATGACACACATTGGTAAAGCTTAAATCCTCCTCTTTCATTTGATTCAACTCATACGATACATATTTCACGCATGAGTGATTAAAACAATTTGAAGAAAGGGTACCAAAAAGAAATTTGGCGAACGGTATCTGAATTTCAAAGAGAAAATCACATTTCTAGAACGTTCGTTTTCTACCCTTTCTTTTGAAAACTCAATCAGGAAAAATGAGCCAGGAATAACAAAGTTCTGTTTATTTGAATTATAATGCTTGCATTTCCATAATAATATTTTATTATAAGAATTCGTTTTTCACAGGCTGCCTGCCTTAGCAACAAAGTTGACAAAAGACAGAGTTGACAAAAGACTTAAAACTCCATTTCGTTGACGATCATCCATACATGAAGCCTTCCGTCTTCTATGTGCATGGCTGATCGTCTTTTTAAGTCTTTTGTTTTTTTACACGTTTTTTCCCCAGGGGAGGAGGCCCGGGGCCCCGGGCCCCTGGATCCGCCACCGGTTATTCCTGGCTCATTTTTCCTGATTGAGGTGTCTTATGAAAGGGCAGAAAACGAACTTTCTGGAAATGTGATTTTCTCTTTGAAATTCAGATACCGTTCGCCAAATGACTTTTTGGATACCCTTTCTTCAAATTGTTTTTAATCACTCATGCGTGAAATATGTAGCTAAGCTTTTCAAATATGTGTCATTTATTAATTATAATGGTGATTACGTTATGATAAAACATCGATAATTCTCGGTTTCGTGTTTTTCTGGGACGCACTGTATAGCTCACACAAAACTTACCAATTAAATCCAATATATCCGACAATAAAACCTGTAGTCAGCGTACCTGTGAGGAGAATGCATTGTAATAAACCATTTTTTTTTTAAATAAACAAAATTTGACAATTGTAGATGTATTATTTTAGGGTAGTCGTTATCTAACCTCTAACAATTAAAATGCTCTGAATAAGAAATCTGATTTGTGACGAATCTCCTTAAAAAATTACTTTTTCTAAGTGAGCCTTTTGAGTAGCATTACAATTCTGTTTTGGAGAATAATGTATTGCTAACTTCTGTTTTTATAGTTATTCAACATTAATGAAAAAAAGAAAAAGAGACTCAAGATAAGTAGCAGCTCTAGAGAGAAAGGATAGGGAGGGGGAGGGAGGGGTGGCAATATATTGATTTTAAATGAATTTAATCGAGGAACATGACTGTAGAAATGAATTAAAGAACCCCATGCCCCCACAACAGCCCCCCCCCCCCAAAAAAAAAAAAAAAAAAAAAAAAAATCTAGAACTGCGTCTGTTAAATACAAATAATGAACAAGATGAAATGTTGCTTACCTATTGTGTACGCAAGACAAAAGTTAAAGACGAAAACGGCGGCAGCCAAGCTGTGCGCGCCGTTATACCAAACTTCTACAATTCGATACATTATTCCCATTACGGTGCTATCAACAGTACCTGCCAATAAAGAGGGGTGACAAATAAAGATTAGAATGAATGAGAGGGAGAGAAAGTGAATGAGAGGGAGAGAGAGAGAGAAAGAGAAAGAGAATGAGAGGGAGGGAAGGAGAGAGAGAGAGAGAGAGAGAGAGTGAGAAAGAGGTTAGAAAAGAAGGGACAGAGTGATTTAATCATGGTATTGTATCCGGCGTGGCCTATTATCAGTTCTTGAACATAATGATATAATGTAGAATATGATACGTATTCAACTCACCAATGGCAAATCCAATGATGCACATAGAGGGAATCAGGTGCCAGATCCCGTGAGCTAGTGGAAGCTATGTGATATAACGTGAATAGTATTAATCAGTGTAAATAATATCAAATTGTAGCTACTACTTATTTATTTCTTCTGTCATACTTTAACTTCATTTTTTAATGATAGTAATGCTAATTCAAATGTGAAGTCTGCATTTCAGACAAAACCCTGAAACATCAGAATGATACAATAGATATATACTATTACACTGCTAAGATAGTCAATATACAAATATACCAAGCTGTCAGAAATAATTTACCCTATACTTTCGAACTAATTGCTAGGTATGTTATAAAATAATAGATCAAAAGCATAGCAAACGTTGACATTCTTATTTTCTACTTTAAACCGTGTAGAACTTTTTTTCTTGCACACCACTGACGTAAATACATTAAAGCTCTAAGTCAACCTGATATATCGACAAATGTCCCTAACATTGTATTTGGATAAATCTGTCGTACATGAGTATATAGTTGGTGTATTGGGTGAGCCGTTATCAAGCTGTTTAGTTGTCAAAAGTAACTAATAATTTAGAAAGAAATATATGCGCACGCAATACACATATTTATGAACTTGTCTAGTGCACGTATTTAACTTACCGTGGAAATACCAATGGCCATCGCTAACACCCCAACAAACATACACCTCCATCTGTGATTGCAGAGAGTGAACAGTTTTATTCAAATTTTAAAACTTTTATGCGACATTAAAAAATATGAATATAGATAAAAATACTAAGCACCAATTTTATGAATAAACATGTGAATAAAACGATTTATGAATTCATATTATTCTAATAATTATACCCTCCCCTCTTCTTTTTTCTAAATTATCACTTAACATAAAAATATCAAGCATGATATATTTGTATCAACAGAACCACACAAGTCCATATTTTCTGAACATCTCTCGTTCGAACATATCATTCCTTTTGAAAAAGGTGTAAGTAAGACAAAACAACCCGTGATGAACAGGGGAAGAAAGAAATGAAGAAACAGCTACCTTTTCAATTTTTTATTCCAGTATCCGATAAGAGGTCCTGATATAACGTGCATGATACTAGTTGGAATGAAAATCAGACCTGGAGAAGAAATGAGCACTTTATTGACGTAATTATATTTTTTAATTGTTTTATTTTCTTTCGTTGTTAATAAGCATAACTGCAATTAAAAATGCCCGTATCCCTGCGATCATCAACATCATCGTGGTCATCACTGTACCACACCAGACCGCTCCCATCATGTACAAGCTCTACAATTCCTCGAATATGAAAGTAATCAACAATAGACTTTTCGTTCATCTAAATCTTTTTTGTGCGTAATTCGTACCATATCTACATGGTTCCAAACAAAAATAATGGTTGCAAACGGTGTGATGATATAATTTCAAAAAATTGACAGACAGTGTACAGGGAGGCTAAATCCTTTTGAAGAAGGGGAAGTTAGGGGGGGGGGATATCTCGGCACTCCCGCATGACGGAGACACACTCCAATGAATGTTTCTCGGCTTTTAACAAGGGTGGAGAGGGGGTTACACCAAGCCTATTAGGGATACGCCATGGACTACATTTTGAACATGTGAAAACAGTTTAGTCCAGGCCTCTGAAAAAATAAAAAAAATAAAGAAGTAAAGAAAATAATGCATAACGATAGAAAAATACGTCACCTGCAATGAACATGATATTTGAGGTCAAGAATTTGCTAGTGGGTACAAAACACAATGGGGGAAGGGACCTGTTGTGTTGTGAAGATTTTGATTTAAATGGGGGCACAGCCACTCGTGCTCCCGGTATCTGTCACTACGTGGTGCATACCTATTTGCCAGTCTGGTGTGTGTAAAGTTGATCGAAGCCAGATTGGAAGGGTTGCACTAGCGTAGGCCATGCCCATCGTGTTCATCAAAGCGAGAACTACATATGAAAACAAGATATGTAATGGTGATGATACGATTCAGTTACATTCCCTTCAACTATGAAAGCATACCGAAATGAAATTTGTGTAAAGGCCCAAAGGCTCCTCTTTTACATGTGAAATAATGTTTCTAGGCATCAACGATATGAATGAATTATTAATAGAGTCAAAATACGAGTTTGGCTTTCTCTTTGATAAATTACAAGGTCTATGATAAATTTCAAGGTTTGGACCTTGTAATTTCTATGTAATTTTGGATGCACTGTTAAGCTTCACCATAGCTATTTACATTCTGATCATTCTGAAAAACTTACGGATAGGTCGCACGGATAGGTCGCACTCTCGCCTTACTCTTGGATTATATCTTTGACTTTGTTTCTCATATGGAAATTGGGTTGTTCTTTTTGAAGTTTTTTGTTTTGGATTTATGTGACCACTTTTGGAATAGGAATTTTTCGTACTGAGGTAAGCAAACACTGTGGGCTTTTCATTTCATTTCATTTCATTTCATTGTGGTTAGCTGCACGATACGCGCTATTCAAATTTCGCGCCTTTTTTCGAAAGCCAATCATGGCGGCTCACGCCTCCGAGCCGGAAAGATCCATGATGAGCGAGGATGAAATGGTTTTTCAAACTGTGCAAAACAGGAATCCTGCAAAAAGGCAACGTGGGAGAAGCTCTACTAATATAGAGAACTTAAAACACGCCTCAGAATCATACTCTTCGAACACCACTTTCCACACCACTTCCCCAAACCCAAACCCAAGGCCAAAGGGCTTTAACATTTTCATAACCCCAATAGATAGGACAAAATCTTTGAACAAAGTAAATCCCATACAAATAGCCAAGGCAATTCGGGAAGTTTGCGTGAACCCTGTAGATTTTATCAAAACCACTAATACGGGACTCTTAATCAAGTGTAAAAATACTAAGCAGGTGAAGGCTATCTCAGAGATTAACAAAATAGGAAGTGTTGATGTAAAAGTCAGTGAAGGAGCGAATGGATCAAAGGGAGTCATTTATGACATCCCACAGGAAATGAAGGAAGAGGAAATTCTTAATGAATTGAAAACTCAGAATGTGATTGGGGTGAAGAGGATGGTAAAAAGAGTCCGAACAGATGAAACAATAGAAGGAAAGCGCCAAATCTCTCAAATTCCCATGCGCTGCGTTATTCTAACCTTCAGTAAAGTCACTATCCCCCCTGAAATCCACTTATGTTTCCAAATCAAGCGCGTAAAACAATATGTCCCACCTGTAATTAGATGTTATCAATGCCAAAGATTCGGACACAATGCTTCACAATGTAATTCCAATAAAAGATGCGTCAGATGTGGAGAAAACCACTCGTTCGATGACTGTAAAAAAAAAGAAGAACGAAAGTGCGTAAATTGCGGGGAAAACCACTCTGCAGCCTACAGCGGCTGCGCACAAGCAAAAAAGGCAAAGCAGGTTCAACAGATACGGTATGAAAAGGGGCTATCGTACGCAGAAGCAGCTCAGTCCTGGCAGCAACAAAACAAAAAAGTATCAAATCCACAGCCTATTCAACAGAAAAATAAAGCCAACAAAACATTGAGTAAGGAAACAGAAAAACAAACAAACGAACTTCCAGTGCGGAATGTTGGTAAACCTAATAGTACCTACGCACAAGCAGCTGTTCCGTCATTCCTGACCAGAGCAAACACCACCCCACAATTTCAAAACCAGGTTATTCCTCAGGTACCACAGAGTAAAGAGACCATTAATAATCAAGGAACGTCAAATGAAACACCACAAGGCACTCCACCTATGACCAACTTCATAGCCTCGGCTAGTGATGAACAAATTATAGATTTTATTTGCCAACTAATTTTTAAATTCACAGAAGGTAGAACTGAAAAAGAATTGAATACTCTTGTTTGCGTCGCAGCCAAAAGGGCGCTGCAACAAAATAGTACATATGATAGAACAAATGATAGTGATTAATTTACTCATGTCACTTTCCATTATACACTGGAACGCCCAGGGACTCTTAGGGCACGGCAATGAATTATTAAATTATTTAAACTTACACAAGGATTTTAAATATGATATTATTTGCATACAGGAGACCTGGTTTCATAATAACATTATTTTGAATATTCCAGAATATACATGCTTTCCTAGAAACAGACAAAATAATATTAGAGGAGGCTGTGCTATATATGTTCATGATAGGATTAAGTATGAGGGTCCTTTCACAGATGCAAACTTAGAATTACAACAAATGAATGTTTACATAGGGGGGAAAAAATTGTCAATCATTAATTATTATAACCCTTGTAATAAACTGAATGAAAATATTATGAATAAGTTAATGGAAAATGTATCTAACAATGAAAACGTCCTTATAATGGGAGATTTTAATGCTCACAATGTTTTATGGGGCAGCGAGAAAACAGACAAAAACGGTGAAGTAATAGAACATTTTTTGAATAAGAACAGTTTGATTATTTTGAACAATGGAGAGGGGACCAGATTAGACCCACGAACGGGGAAAACATCATGTCTGGATCTAAGTATCACATCTCCTTCTTTGGCGTGTAAGTCTACATGGGGAGTCATGCGGAGTACTTTTGGTAGTGACCACTTCCCAATCTCTCTCCAAGTGTCTCTCGAAAAAAGTACAGATCCGCATAGAGCAAATGCAGGTATGCCTAATGGAAATGTGGTAGAAAAGCCTTTTTCTTTTAAGAATATAAGCTGGTCTAACTTTGCAAAGAAATGTGAAGAAGTATTAAATGGACAGATTACATTAAAAAACACAAATGTAAAGGAAATGTACACCCAATTTATGGAGTACCTAAAAGAAGTTATAAAGGAAGCTGTTCCCCAAAAGAGTAAAAAGAAACAAAACCCGGTCCCATGGTGGACAAAAGAATGTTCTGCTAAAATTAAAGAAAGAAATAAAGCGAGTAACAAGCTCTCTAAAGGTAGAATGATAACGCTGGAGAATATAGATGATTATAGTAACAAGAAAAAAATGGCACAACGAGTTCTCCGCCAAGCAGAACAAAAATATTGGCAAGCGTTTTGCACGAAACTGGACCGTTACATGCCTGAGTCAAAAATCTGGACCTGCATAAAACGACTAAATGGTGTTCCAGGTGCGAGGTCAAAAAATATGTCATCATTGACAGAAAATGACAAAGAAATAACTCGGGAGGATGAAAAGGTGGATGTTTTTGGACGCTACTTTCAATCTTTAGGAATGAGAGAAGATAGGGTAAATGAACAGTATTTAGCTTTAGTAAAGAATAGCATGAATATTCAGGAGAGTGTTATCAATGAACCCTTTTTACTCATTGAATTAGAAAAGGCAGTACAGTCAAAAAAGCGGACTGCCCCTGGTCAAGATAACATTCCTTATGAGGTGTATGAAAACTTTCCTAAAGAAACTAAAAAGGTTATGTTAGATATAATAAACAGGATTTGGGGAACAGGGGAAATACCCCTCCCACTGAAGCACTCTATTTTGATACCAATTTTGAAACCTGGAAAAGATCCCCGGAAAGCGTCTTCATATAGACCCATTTCACTCACATCATGCTTCGCCAAAATAATCGAGCGTTTGATCAAAGAAAGGTTACAATGGTATGTAGAAAAACATGAGTTACTACCTAATTTTATTAGCGGGTTTAGAAAAGGGCGGAGTGCCATAGACAACATAGTTCTCCTAGAAAACGATATTCAGAAAAGTATCAATTGTAATGAACACATAATAGCTGTGTTCCTAGATATTGAGAAAGCTTATGATAAATTATGGATAAACGGACTACTATTCAAACTCGCCCAAAAAGGAATAGAAGGAAATTTGTTACAATATCTACAAAATTATTTGACAGGACGTACCTTTCAGGTAAGAATTAATAATACTGAATCAAAAACATATGATATGCATAATGGACTCCCACAAGGAAGTATTTTGAGTCCACTGCTTTTTAATTTAATGATTAGTGATATCCCTACAGATCCTTCAGTGCCCTTAGCTGTATATGCTGATGATTTTGTCATATGGGCATCAGGTAGGGATATCCTTCAAATATCAAGCAAACTTCAGGAATACCTGAATAGACTCCAGACTTGGTTTCGCAGATGGGGATTTCGGCTTTCGGCTGATAAGACAGTCCCTATATTTTTTACAAAAAGTACAATGAATCTCTCACCACCGCAAGTAGAATTAGACGGGAAAAAAGTGCCCTTTCAGAATACTCATCATTTTCTGGGGGTAACTTTTGATAAGAAATTGACCTGGAAGCCACACGTGGAAAATGTTGTAAAGAGATGTAAAAGAAAATTGAATATCCTAAGATGTTTAACGGGAACTAAATGGGGGAGCTCTTCTAAATCCCTCGTAAAGGTTTACAGGGCATTCATAAGATCTTTACTCGACTATGGATGTGAGGCCTACGATAGCGCTACTACCACCACAAAAAAGGCACTTGATTCGGTGCAATACCAGGCGCTACGGATTTGTGCGGGAGGACTACCTCTCACTTCCCTACAATCCTTACAAGTGGAAATGGGGGAATTTCCCTTGGATCTAAGGAGACAAATTGTGTCAAGTAAATATAGACAAAGTATCGAAAGATCCCCAAACCACCCATTATCACAAAACATAGGGCCATGTTGGCAATTTGATTATCTAAAGGGAAAAGACTTTCTTAGTAAACCTTTCGGGTATAGAACCCAGAGTAAAATAAAAAACTTCATGACAGAAACTGCCGTACCATCCCCATTTCCGCCATGGCTTTTTGAACCCCCACTGGTTTCGACCGAGTTGAGCTCTCGGATTTCAAAAGCCGACCATCCGAATGAACTACAGCAACAAAGCTTAAAATTGATTAATACAAAATGGTCGAACCAGTTGCATATATATACAGATGGATCTAAGTTTCCGGAGAAGGGCCAATGCTCGGCTGCTTTCTATATCCCACACTTTTCTGTACACCAATGTAAAAGATTAGCGAATTTTACCTCATCGTATAGAGCCGAGTTGGCTGCAATTGTTCTTGCCCTTCAATGGATCGAAGAAACAAATATCTATACAGGTGCAGTCATTTTTAGCGACTGCTTAAGTGCCCTCACAGCCTTGAAACATTTTAGTGACGAATCCTTTGTCACAGAAATATTTATAATAACGACCCGATTGAAATATAGAGGGATCGAAATCGCTTTGGAATGGATTCCAGGCCACTGTGGGATAGTGGGAAATGAAAAGGCAGACTTCTACGCAAAAAAAGCTCTAACTCAGGAAATTGAAATGCATAATAAATTGACTTTATTTGAAAAGACAAGTTTAATTTTGTACAGTTCAAAGTTACTTTGGCAAGAAAGGTGGAATGATACCCAATCGGCATTAAAAATCCTTCAGCCAAATGTTATCTCACAATATTCTTGTAAATTGGGAAGAAAAACTGAAACTATTCTTAGGCGACTACGCCTGGGAGTGTCTGGACTCAACCAAGACCTCTTGCGTTTGGGCATCCACTCCACAGGTTTCTGTGACAGCTGCCCAACATTAGAAACGGTCAGACATTTTTTGATAGAATGTCCAAAGTATATAATAGAAAGGGCCATGTTAATGTCAGAAGTTAATATTTCCAAGGAAGAGGACATTATGATATGTTTACGAAACAGTGACTCTCATGTACAAATGGCAATTTCTCGCTTCGTTTTTAGAACGAAGCGATTATGTAAAAAGTAAAATCAAAAAGAGATGAAAAACAGAAACCGCAATCAATTTGAGCTGAATAGAAGAGAAAATAGGTTTTTTGTGTATAACCTTATGCCTACACCTGTATTAGTGTCTTATTTGAAGTTTTGATCGTATAGACCTATATATCTTATTTAGGCCTCTTTTAATTAAAAAAAAAAAAAATAATGATTGAAACAATTTAACATTATTTATTTGACCAATCGAAAAACATATCTTAATACATACACACAACTTTAGGGAAGTGGAGAGGAGAGAGAGAGAGAAGGATACATGAAATCTGCTGGGGAAAAGAAAAAAAGCAATTAAAACTTGCTATATCATTACTCGAAAGCATGTCACCCCCCAATGATTATAGTAGTTAAAAGTCATGCGCTATATAAATAATTTCATGAACTAACTCATATAAACTAATAAAGCCCACAAGTGTTTTGCTTATGCAGTTGTCTTTCTCCTAATAAATAAATAAACCCTCTAAACATACAGGTACACGACGCCCCCTTGTCTATGCCAGAGTGACCTAGGTTGAGTTTATCAACCGAGAAGCGTACGGCGTAACATAACTCGCTGGGCTGGTAAGAAGGCATCATAGAAAGGACAGGGCCAGCGTGAGTTGGAACTGTGTGCGGATCGTGGTTTAATTTGAAATAATTTTTTGTTTTTATTTTTTTTGTAGACTATGACTAATATTATATTAAAATGAGATTGGAAAAAGAAAGAAAGAAATAATAATTTTACCAAGACATTAAAAGAAAGAGATGCGATGAAATTGGCAACAATAGTCAAATTTGACTAATAGCCATTATTAATACCAAACGAACAACAACAACAACATAGATACCTGTGCCACCTCCCCCCCCCCCCCCCCCCACCTGACAAGAGACTCCTGGAACCACCAATGATCCACCATTTATCTAAGTTTATCCTGTCCACGCAGGTGTTGAGGGGGTTCCCAGCATGATTAGAATGTCACTGTTTTGGAATAATTGCGACTGACTGGAATACTCCCCTGAGGAGTGAAGACAGAATCGTAACTTCATCCCTTATTGAATCATATTACTAGGTTAATGATACACTATGTTACGCTTCAATTATAGCAGAAGGGCTTTATAAATTCTATCCTTACATTCAATGACAGTAGGGACTTTTAGATTTGCGTGGACTGATACGTGTGACGTCCATTCAAGGCAGCGCATTAAAAGGACGTCGATCGTAGCAATCCACGTTGTCGTTGTGCAAATCTAAAAGTCCCCATTATTACGTCTGCTACATACCCGAGACCAGTATGGTGTAAGGATTCATTATTAAAGTAAGAGCAGATGACCCCTCTTCTGTCAAAGGAGGTCGTATGTCCACAGGCATGAAGATTGGAATAAAAACTGTGAGTAGAAAAAGGACATGATCGTGCACTCTAAAATATTTGGCGTAAGCATATTACGTACACATTACAAGTCAATGAAACAAAATTATTTTGATGAGTATCATAATATAGACACATTTTTAAAACAAATAATGTATTGGAAAAAAGTATACCATGCCAAATATCAAACAAAAATCTCTAGACGTTTTTACTCTTATATATATTTTATGAATCGTATTAACTTATTTCCACATATTGGGTGGATTTCACTATCAACATAATTTTGAAAGAGAAGATACAATGTGGAATACTACGGGACAGGATCGCAAATACTTTCGAAAAATCAACACAGCTAATGCACTTACAATAGCTCTGTCCCTTGATAATGTTCTGACGTCGTATAATAGCATGTTACAGCATCCGTACATGATTTCGATATGGAATAAAACAGAGTATAACATTGCCCCTAAGTTGATTTCTTGAAAGTGTTTCGATCATTATATATATATATATATTTTTTTTGGGGGGGGGGGGATGGGGGTAAATATTTATCGAGCTAACTTCTGACCTGGAAAAAGAACATACCTACAGAAGCAATTAATACAGCAGAGATGACCAGGAATGGAGCAGACTGACCTACTAGTCCATACAGGACAGAACCTAAAGTTGGACCGACTACAGAGAGGGGGAAAGAGAGGAGAGGGAGAGAGAGAGAGAGAGAAAGAGATATAGAGAGAGAGAGAGAGAGAGGGGGGGGGGGGAGATGGAGATGGAGAGAGAGAGAGAGAGATAAGGGGGGATAAAAAGGCAAGAAAAGAAATTAATGTTATAATCCCTATACTTCGTAATCATTAAAGTCGAGAATCACAACTTGAAGGCAAGGACGCAAGGTTACACCAATTTTGAATATTGTGCATCATAACTCGTCTGGAAAAAACAATCTCACCTGTGCCCACAATCATGATCTTCTTTTCATTTCCTTCAACATTTTAGTTAGGTCATTATCTGATTGCAAATGCGCAATCGGATTTTCTGAATTAAAACAAAAATGTTCTCAAAATATCCTTCAAATTGCTCTTAAAATTATAACATGGTGTGCATCATACTGATATACAGAATTCATTCGTGCAACACCACTTATTTTGCCGGCGTTCTTGACAACCAGGGTAATACCAGTATTTTGTCAACAAACTATTTATTTAAATCAGGGGGAAATAATCTCCCAAAATACGTTATCGGCTCAAAATTTACATTTTACACACTACATAACTCAGGGAAATTGATATCAACCTGAATGTAAGTTAATTATCCATCATTCGACACCAACCCATATTTATAAGAGGTTTAGCTTAAAGGTATAGCCAAGTTGGGAAACGCCCCCCTCTCAAAAAATGAAATGGAAGCTCTTATTACCAATCATGTGAAAGAATGTGTGATGATACAAATTTTTCCGGAAAACCGCTTACTAATTGATATATTTGGTAAATTATCATATCGATCCAGCCTGGATAGATATATTATAGCAGATATTTCTACATTTATTGATACATCAAATATAAAACATTCAAATAACAATAATAGTATATAACATATAATTGATTTACATAAAGAGTGACAACTTAAATACACACACATAAAATGCATATATAGGCCTATATATATATATATATATATATATATATATATATATATATATAATTGAAAGCTTGGAGTATGGAGGTAAGTAAAATAATCAAGATAAATGTAGAAGCCAACCATCATAAGCAAGAAGGCTTGAGTCGATAGCAGCCGGGAAGGGGGGGGGGGGTACATGGCGCTGTTATAGGAGTACAGTATGTAAGAGATATCGCGAATGCACTTGAACATTTGGGCATATATTTCTGCTTTTTTTGCGAATTTAGGTTGAAGTAAAGTCATCTAAACCTCTGAAGGCAATATTTAAACAATATTGAATGGATATTTTGCACACAAAACCCTTGAACCGTAATTTTACCACTACCGGTCTATATCTTTAAAACATATCCTAAAAATTGATTTAAACACAGTAAACACGTCCTCAATACATACAAGTACATCCAAACTGTTAATACACATACGGGCAAAAATGTAGTTTTTTGTGGAAGTCAAATAAATAACTTAGGGTTGCTATATCTTTTCACAGTGACTGAAAAGAGATATAAGCCTCCCTTTAAACAATATATTATCCTTAAACATGGCCAAATTCCTGGAAAGTGACAATAAAAGACGCCTCTCCGATTTTGATACATGGAAAATAACGGTTTTTGATAAAAAAATCAATTTGTTTAAAAATCAATCACACACAAAAATCATGTTTTTTACTTAAATGTGTGATTTTAATTAATCTCATTCCATTGAAATTGCCATACAAAAATAAACGATTTAATTTTCTTTCATATGACACCAAACTCATGGTGGTTCAAAGCTCCCTTAAAATATTATTTACAAAATACTAATTTTCGTCAAAAGGGCCGCCTTTTTAGACGCCCCCTCCGACTAAGGGGTGGTCGCGCTTAAAACATATTCTGGAATATTGTGTATCTTGATCTAGTCTTTCGAATAAATGAGATGTGCTCAGTTTGTGTGGTATAGTGGCAGGCAAACTCCTCTTTTCTGACTTTGGCCCTCCGCTTAATACCTATTACGTCCTTGAATGTGAAAATAAAATAATTCAAGACTTACTAAGTGTTCCGAAAGCAAAGCCGCTGATCACCAAACCAAAAACAAATCCTTTCTTGTTCTCATCATCTTGGTATCGTATGGCTAAGTAAGAAATTCCTTGAGATGAATGAAACAATAATGATGATAATTTAAAAAAAAATTCAATTACATGTTGTTGTGGCCTGTAGTTAGATCATTTTTAAAATATATAACACTATACGATAATCGTGTCCCTTTGCCACTATATACTCAACGGACATTAAACGTAGCATTACAATAACCTCTCGATTTTTGTTCTGGATTCCTAGCCCTCTCATTAACGGATTGAACATTTGCATCTCCACTCGTGGAGAAATCGGCTTCTGTCCTCGATCCACATCTCACAAACGTGCTGTTACAATGATGCATTACAATGATGCTTTTTATAAGTATAAGTATATAAGTAATTGTCCATATCAGGAAATTCGATCCCCCTGCATGGTTGGTACAAGTCACTATGAACATGTCGGACAAAGAAAGCGGACAAAATATACAGTTCCTCAGGTAGACAAAGGAACATCCCTTCACTGCTATTATGTACAATGTGTAGAACAGGTGAATATGCATGTGACACCTGTTTTACACATCTTTACATAATAGCAGTGAAGGGATGTTCCTTTGTTTACCTGACGAACTGTATATTTTGTCCGCTTTCTTTGTCCGTCATGTTCATAGTGAGTAGTATAGTAATATAAACATACATTATAATGAGACAAAATACATTCATAATACATACAAAATAACAGACTTATATCGTCATTCTTACAATCAATCCCATCAGAAAGGTTATCAACAAAATGAGATTATTATTGATATTATTATCATCATTATCATTATTTATATTAGTTACTTGCTGACTTACCTACTTACCTACCGCGTGTTGTTACTTATCCAATATCATTTTTCTAAATATTACATACAGTGCCAATGATTAGATTATATTGTGTTTGTGTATAATCCAGTACATTTGTGGCATAAATCGTCCCTTTTTTCACGAAGTCACGGTAATTAGGAAAATCGCATAAAATTCCAGTATTTTTTGTCGCATTTTTGGACATCATTCACTAACATCTTGAATCTCACAAAATTTCGAACCACAATAATCTAATTATGTTACTATGACGATGACGTAAACAAGAAACTACCTAGTTAGTAAAAGGATTTTCTGTTTTCACGAAGTGACGGCTAAGTACGCGCTTACAGCCGGTGTGACCGCGTAGAATGTAGCCCGCACCGTTCGTCCGGGAATTAGAGATCGATCGAGAGCGGACGATCGGTGCGGATTTTATCCGCGCAGAATGTCCGTATCGGACATTCCATGCGCGCCTCAATTGTCTGACGGACAATCTGTGCGGAAGAGGTCTCGCACCAATATGCCGCCTGCCGCACCGAATGTCCGTACTCTAGTCCACACGTACATCAATACAAGTATAATTATACACAGTGAATGAAACGGCTGGATAACCCATATTCTGCTTTGCCAGCTAGCTAGGGATGACACTACAGGTCTTCCCGGCGCGGATCCAGGGGGGGGGGGGCGACGGGGCCTTGCCCCGGCGGCAACAAAAAAGAAGAGATAGAGAGAGAAGGAAAAGAAGGGAAAGGTAAAGCGGAGAGTAAGGGAAAGGAAGAAGAGGAAGAAAACAAAAAGGGGGAAAAAGGGATATCGGGGGCTAAAGGCCTTCCCCACTTCCCAGCAAAAGAGAGAGAGAGAGAGAAAGAAGGAAGAAAAATAAGTGAAAGGGAAAGAAGAGACAAAGGGATAGGAAGAAGAAAAGAAAAGGGGAAAGAAGGAGATCGAGGGGAAGACAGGGCCTCGCCTCCTAGGCTGTTGCCCCCCCCCCCCAGCAAAAAGAAAGAGAGAAGGAAGAGAAGGGAAAGAAAGAAAAAAAAAGGAAAAGAGCAGATAAAGGGAAGGAAAGAAAAGAAGGGGGTATATCAGTTTTAGTTTTCCCGCCAATCGGGGGGGGGGGGGGCAAATGGCCCTTGCCTCCTCCCTTTCTCAGCAAAATTAACAGAGAGAGAGAAGGAAGAACGGGAAAGGGAAAGAAAAGGTACGAGAGATCAGATTTTCCCCACCAACGCGTTGTGGATTAACTATTTTGCTGGCAGCAAGAAGTGCAAAAATGAGCATGCATTTGCATGTACATGTAAGTGTATCATTAATATTATTAGTATTGTTTAATTACATCTTGTGAAATAGTATGCATTCAAAATTTTGGGATTTTTTGTGTGTATTTGTATGAAAGAAAGCATTATAATGCAGATGTTGCCATGTCAGGTGCAACTTAGTGTTCAAATATGGGACACGCACGGCCAGGCAATAGTGTAGGAAATCTTCAATCAGGTATATGACTTAATTACTTGTCTGTTGCCTTTAATACGAAATTTTTTATATTTAGTCGGGCCTGAATTGAGAAGCAAAACAATTATTGTGTTAAAAGGAAAAAAGAACATATTTGATGACAATCAAAATTCCCCAATAACCAATAAGAATGGAGAGTGAGTACTCGTTTTTGTTTTTCTTCAAAACTTACTCAATACAAAAGTATAAATAGCTAGCCTGGACACTTGAGCCTCTCACAAAACGCAAGTATAGGCCTGAGGTGTCGTTCTATTTTCATGTTGTTGCTCTGTGCACGCTATTTTGTATGAATAGGTGGAGTATCCGCCTATACAATTTGAATCGTACAAAAACTACAAGTTGTCTTTCTTGGCATGTTTTTGTTCCGAAGAATCTGCTACGTAAAAATTTGTAAAAGTGATATAGTAAACAACCAGTTTTTTTCACTCTGGTTCTGAAGGGTAAAAAACACAACTTGAAATCATATAGTTATCATAATATTATTACAGGTCATTGAAGTCTACTTTTTGAAACTTAAAGGGATTGAGTAACTTTGTCTCAGGTTTTGAAACAAAATCCTGGAATGATAATAAGGGCTAGTTCTGACCGGGAAACGACCCAAATATCCGAGTATGGCTAGCTGCCCCAGGGCCTTGTCCTATATACGGATAAGTGAGTGCCCTGGTGGGTCCATTTCTAACTCGTATTTTTAGCCCTTCTTTCTTTACTTTTTCCTTTCCTTTCCTTTAAAAAAAAAAAGGGGGGGGGTTGGTTCTAATTCGATACCAGTGATTTACAGTTGTTGCTGAAATGACATAATTTCCAAGGATTTTTCCTCACTTTTTAGTAAATTATACATTTTATGCGTTTGTTGGAGAATGACAAATATCAAAATTTACAGTCAGGCAAGAAATGTGCTTATTTACTTTTTAGAGGCCTACATGTCAGGTCCCACGGATCTGCGGGCTTGGGGGCTCAATCCCCCCTTCCCTCACACTCACACTTTTGAAAAATATTATTAAAGAGAATTAAATAGAAAGAAATAGAAAAAAAAGAAAAATAGTGAATTGCCAGTGTCACAAAATAAGGAGGTAACAAAATATGCTCATGTGACCGTAATTAAATACCTATACCCCTGAGCTTCTGGGGGCTCTGCCTCCTGGACCCCACCTTGGGCCCTAAGGCTGGCCCCTGGATGCTCATCTGACCTTATTTCAATGCCTAAAACCCCTGCGCTTTCGGGGGCTCCGCCCCCTGGACCATACGCCAATTAGTGACCTGCCAGTGTCATCAATAAGGTAGTCAAATATGCTCATCTGACCGTAATTAAATGCCCCTACCCCCTGAGCATCCGGGGGCTCCGCCCCTTGATCCCCCCGCCAATTTGTGCTAGGCTCTACCTTATCTAAAATACTCTATCCTCCAGTCCCCCACTCACTTTCAACCCCATTTCTAATCACTTTAATTTCCCATTTAACTCCTATATTAAACCTCGAAACGCCCCACCACCGTTGTAGAACATGCTACGCCGTTGCGCGGGGCCTGGATCACGAGTTCAGTTCAGTTTATTAAACCAGAACGTCAATGACGTAGCGCTCATCCGCATCTCGTAACAACAAATATCGTCAATTTTATGTGGTACACTTTTGAACTAGTCAAAAAATAAAAATTTGATGCCCTGGAAGGGACATAATTTCATTTAGCCGAACAAGATTAAATAGAAACTAAAGGAGAAGAAGCATTTTTTGTTAATTTTTGGAATAAATTTGAATAAATTACCATAATTAAACAATGGAGCAAAATCTCAAAATTCTGTGTAGAATTTTAGTAAACCAAATTAAGCTCTACCAGATAAAGCAAACCAAATCAAATATGGTCAAGAAATGAGGAAGAAGAAGCAATTTTTGCTTTTTCTGGAATAAATTTGCATAATTTACCATAATTAATTAATGGAGAACAATTTCAAAATTCTGCGTAGAGGTATAGTGTACCAAAGTTAGCTCTATGATATAAAGCAAATCAAATCAAAATCGGTCGAAATATGAAGGAGAAGAAGCATTTTATGTGATTTGTTTATTATTTTTGGAATAAATTTGCATAAAGTACCATAAATAATCAATGGAGCAAAATCTCAAAATTCTGTGTCGAAGTTTAGTGTTCCAAATTTAGCTCTACCAGATACGGCAATCCAAATCACAATCGGTCAAGAAATGAGGGAGAAGCACTTTTTGTTATTTTTGGAATAAATTTGCATAATAATTAATGGAGAATAACTCCAAAATTGTCGAAGAAGCTCACTCCACAAGGTTTTGATATCATAATGGCATATTTTTTGGAACAAAATAGTTGTTACCATGGCAACGCCTTATCCGGCATACACACAAAATAATTGTCTTACACAGCCTCACCTCATCTAGTGCTTAAAAGGGGATCCCCAAAAGAAGGACGGAGCCCCCAGGCTTCTGACGGGGTCACCAGTGTTGAACGGTGCCCCTAGACTTCATTCATGCTCGGAAGGGGCTCCCAATGGTGAGACAGAGCCTCCGGGCTTCAGAGATACTTGGAGGGGGCTTTAAACAGATGGGCAAAGCACCCGGTCTTATGATATGGTGAGAGAGGGTTCTCTAAAAGGGCGGTGCCCGTAGTCTCCATTCATGCTTGGAAGAAGCTCCCAAAGAGATGGAGAAATGGACAGAAGTGCAAGATTGCCCCTGAATTAATCAAGCCCCCCCCCCATTCCATCCCATTTATATAGAACCCAGGGGCGGATCCAGCCGGCGGCAGGGGAGGGGGCCAAAGAGGGGGCCCAATTTCATGAGAGAATATTTAGCGGCGAAACAGCTAGCCGGTGTTAACAGCTATTCACTAATGTGAGTTTGTTTTTCTTTTTACGTTATTAAGCAAGCACCCCTGACCCCCTTCCCCTTGGCTACGCCAATCAGAAATTGTAGTTTGTTTTTATTTTATTTTTATTAAGCAATTATATTTATAATTATCTTTATTTAATAGAGCCTCATTAAGTTAGCCCCTAAGTTAGTTCTGAAAGATTACACCAAATTAAGCATATAGGACTGAGCTCAGCCGTTCTGATCAACCGTACGATCCGATCATCAAGGTCAGTTTAATACAGCATTGCGGATTACCACTTGGCAAACAAAACTAAAAAACTTCTATATTTTGACATTTTACTTGTATACTTGAACACGTACTACACAAAAACACGATAATATGCAGGAATACTTCTATAAACTCACCACAAAAGTGATCAGGAAGCTCGAAGATGTCCAGCCTCTCTCCATCTCTCTCAGCTAGTCAGCTTGCGATCGATATCCACCATCGATATCCACGACGTACGCGAGGTGCGTATACGTACGTAACCTAGAGATCAAGTGTTATTATAGATCTCTAAGGTACGTAACAGTCTCGCGCGTTGTTGGCATGGGACTCTGAACGCGTACATTTGGAATAAGCCCCCCGCCCCCCCCCCCCCCACGTATGTGCCATTTGGTCGCGTTATCTGACCTGACGCACCCTAACAATCCAACGCACCCTTTCGGCCAAACCGGGGGGGGGGGGGGCTTCGGACGAATGGTCGCGTTCAAGTCAACGCGCCACGACGCGACGCTACCCACCCTTTCGGCATAAGCCGTTATGTTTACAGCTCATTTCCCCCAAAGTATAAGAAAACATGGAAATAATTAAACATAGAACTAAACATTGAGATATGTTCTATCCCAGGATATAATTATTTATTTGTTTGCCCTTGATACATTAAAGTGGTTGAGATTATGGTTTGAAAGTTCGGAAGCGATTTATTCAAAACTAACTTTCTTTTAATTGCGCGCTCATCCGTCACTTCGTGAAAATGGGGACGAATTCTCGCTACCCTAAATATGTACGAAAATCTCGAAATTCGCGAGACGAGGTAATTTTCACTCTCTCGGGTCGTCACTACAACTTCCGGTATAGAGTCCCATCCCAAGTCACGGCCTTCATCCACCCCCATTTTTCAGGGTTCTTACGCTTGGAATCATGAGCCCAGCACTGTGCAGCCTCACAAAAGAAAACCATCGTCACTGATGTCAAAAGACGCAAAAAACAACGAATGAAATGTTCAAATAAACGTTGAAATATTTGCGAAAAAAAACAAGACCGAGCAGACGACATATTCGGTGCATACACGTTGTGTGGCGACGGCGTTTTACGTTTGCGCTATCGCGCCGCCTGCACAGGAAGCTGTAATGTCGAAAAGCTATCCCATAATGCAATGCGCGTTTTCAGGATTTTCCCCGGATCTCGGCAAAATCGCTATTTGGGGTAGCGAGAATTGATTATTGATACTTTAGATACATGAATACAATCTACGTCTTGGCAATGCAAGTGCACAAGTAGGAAGTGTTAAGCATAAGGGGGAGAAGTGAAATAAGAGAGAAAGAGAGAATGAGAGAAAGAGGAGAGAGAGAGAGAGAGAGAGAGAGGGGGGAGGACATAGAGAACGAGAGAAAGAGGTTAGAGATAAATGTTGTACACTGTATTGTTCATTATCTCGGAATATATTAAAGACTACCTTATAATCTGTTGACAATAGGTCAATCTACACCGATGATTCCGAGATATTTTAAAATGAAAGTTGTAATAATAACAATGACGAAAATAATAGCTACATTATACCATGTACACATTTACTACACCAAGGTGGAGAGTGGCAAATGTACCTGCGATTTCCACTCCAGTCCCACCGATGCCATGGAGTGCTCGCGATAGAAAAAGTACCAGGATCGAGTCAGCAAAGCCCATCACTGTAAAATTAAAAGAATTTAATTAGCTTTACCATTTGCTTTCTACTGAAAATAACAAGGAATGGGGAGAGAGAGAAAAAAGCCCTCTTCTTTACTGATGATTAAGGAATCGATTAACTTAGTATAGGGGTTGTGTAAAATCATATGTAAAATAATTACAAGTAGAGTGCTTGTACAATATTTTTCTTTCGCGAGAAAATGGAATTTTAAGATTTATAAAGCAATTAACAAATGGAGATGGGGTCGAATGTGAAATCACAGGTACACGTAAGTCACTATACAAATCTACAATTTTCTCATTCTTCATCGGATTTTCCTCAAATTTTGAATTACTTGTTTCTTTACCTTTTCTGCTTTAATTGGACTTTCTCTTTAAGTAACGGATTAACAGGCGAAAAGAAAGAGAGAGAGAGAGAGAGAGATGATACAAAAGAGTAGCAGTAATAACAACAATTATGAACATCGAGAAGGATCTTACTCAAACAGGCGGCCAGAGTCAAGAGTGTACTGAAGAAAAACGTTAAAAACGGTCCAACTCTGAAAAAGAAGATACAAATTAACACTTATTTAATCAAGCATTAACTACAGAAATGTAATTTCCTATCATATTTGTATTTTTCCTGAAAAGGCACGTGACAGCACGAAAAGTGATGTCAATTCTGTTTATTGTAATTTTGACATTGGCACGAAATTATCACTGTGAACTGTATTTTGTACACCGTAATTCTAATTTTGTTATCCCTTGTTAAGATAAATTGAGAACAGTCCTGCATGTTAGAAGTCTAACCACTAAATTCGAATATTAAATTAATGAGCGAAGTTAAAGACATGTATGTGCTCCAAATACTCTTTTTTACTTATCAACGAGCGAGCTTGTAGGAACAGTCAGCAAGATCCTCATCAAGAACTTTGTTGCCAGGAACAACCCATTTTGGAAACTAAGCCTCTCACGACAGTCGTGTAGAGGAGCTAAGAAGGGTTCTGGAGTGGAGCTGGTTGTATAGGAGGGTGTGACATCCTTTGTACTGTGATACGACTCGGGCTGCTCTGTCAAACATTCCGACATGTTGAATAGTCCCGTCTGTGCAACCTCCTGACACAAAGAACGGTACACATTCCTGTAACAAAATTTGAGTAGGACTTCAGGAGACACTGGTACTGTATTCAGAGAGAGTAAAAGGAGGGAGAATGAGGAATATTGAAGGAGAAAGATAGATAGAAGGGGAGAATTAGGGGGAGGATAGAGGGAGAGAATGGAGGGAGAGAGAGAGAGAGAGAGATGGGGCGAGGAGTGTGTGTGTGTGTGTGTGTGTGTGAGAGAGAGAGAGAGAGAGAGAGAGATAAGATCTTAATAATCTTCTATTAACAATTGATTAAAGGCTTTTTTTCCGATTTCGAATAACGGATCAATTTTTTACATAAATAAATACTTCATGCATGGTTAAGAAAATTAGAAATGGGTTTTATCTCCACAATTCTTCTTCTAATGCATTCCAAATAAATACATACGGATCATTTGTTTATGTAACTCATTGATAAAGTATTATTAATGTTTGTATGAATAGTAGTTATAGCAGTGACTTGACGGACGGCCATAGGGTTTGTACACGATTTTCTTTTCGACAAAAACGGACTTATAACACGCGTGTCTAAGGGATTTTGAACTTTTGAATTTAGATAGAGATTTTTCATTTTGCAAACAACAAATGTCAGCATGTTTTCCATTTAAATAGTTTAGTACATCTTTTATTTTCTGAGAGTTTCCCAAACCTCTACAGTTCATAGAAATAATCTTCAACTTATTATACATCACGATAACAAATAACTATTTTATACATAGGCTACATGTATAAGGCCATCGGATGAATTTTTAAACATTATTTTATAGAGCATGAGTAACAGTACAATACAACGAGCAACACAGACAGACAAAGAAACAAGACAGACAAACAGACATATCAAGACATTAAACTTGACAAATACAAACACATGCACTAAACATGCAAAGAGAGCTACGAGTCTCTCACTAAGGGCCACATCCCGTACCATCACGTCCCATCTGGCAACAGCGCAGTTCTGATTATGTTGAAATACTATTATTCTTACCAGGTGAATGAAATAATTTGTATTGAGGCACTTCACTAAGACTTCACGAAAATGGCCTATTGCCATTGATATAGGGCGCGTTTATCCGGGCTTGCCACTACAGTGCGTCCCGAAAAAAACTATACACTTTTGAAATGGCTGCCAAATAAAAGAATATATGATTATGGGGATTTTTTTTTATATGTATGGAAAGCTCATAAGCTCAGCTTTCATATGACACCAAAAAGTTTGAAAATAATTCATGCTTGGGTGAGCACTGCACACTTTTGTAAAGGGTATGAAAATTAGGTTGCGCAGGAATTGGCCTTCCAATTTGTGAGAGGTAAATCCGTTGGAGCTTACGGAATTGAGGATGATATGACCAATTAATGATCAATTGATCTGAGTGAAATTTGTGGTTTATGGGATTAACATTTTATGCATGAGTGAACAGGAATTGCATTTGATAATACCGTATAGCAATGTAACTTTCCATGGTAGACTCAGTGGAGTGTTCATAGGAGTCACGACTGGGTGATGGAACATGGTGCAGGGGAGGTGAAATGTAGGGTAGGACTTTGTTTGGTAGATGGGATAAGGGTCAAGAGGACATGTATGCCCCTCCCCCTCTCTTTCTCTCTCTCTCTCTCTCTCTCTCGCTCTCTCTCTCTCTCTCTCTGCCTTGGTGTGCTTGTGCATATCTTGACAATCCATTACATTCAGCTACCAATCACTTAATCAACAATGTACGCTATCAGTCAATTAATCAATCAAGCATTCAATCACCATTCAGTATTTCAATCAATTTAATCATTCAATCATAATCAATCAATAACTCAGTCAATCACTTAATCTATCAACCAACCAACCAGTCATTTTAGCACTTGAGTTTCTGTAAATGGTAAATGGGTAACATGAAGAATAAGTAACCAACATCTGTGATATTCCTCTTTTCAACAAACCGTATTGAATAATCAATTTACATAATCCTTATTTGGTTATTAAGTAAATCAATAAGATGTTCAACTAATCTTACAATAACTGAAATGTGGGGTGAAGGTTTTTATTCAAAGTCACAGATATAAAAAATAACAGTTTATAAGATGGAAATTACAACATGTACCATCAACCCCTCCTGACTCCCATGTACACACCACTGAGTCTACCAGGGAAGGTTACAATGCTAAAATAAAAAATGAAATTTCTGTTCACTCATGCATAAAATTTTGGTTTTATAAACCAAAATCATGAATGTATCATATCACCCTCGATTTTGTAAGCACCAAAGGAGTTACCTCTCACAGATTGGAACGCTAATTCCTGCGCAACCTAATTTTCATACCCTTTATAAAAGTGAGCAGTGCTCACCCAAGCATGAATTATTTTCGGACTTTTTGGTGTCATATGAAAGTTGAGTTTATGAGCTTTCCATACATATAAAACTTTTCCCCTAGGATCATATATTTTTTATTCGGCTGCCATTTCAAAAGTGTATAGTTTTTTTTGGGACGCACTGTATAGATAAATATCGTACCCCACTATCAAACCCCACTATCGAACCCCACTATACGATCGGGATTTGCGGGATGTCGCGTTTATCGTCCCTTCACGATTCAAAATAAAGGCCTTGTGTCTGCCCAGCTGTTTTGACCCGGGAAGCAGACAGTTTCTCGGAAGTCAACTTCACACACATGCTTGTACACAACACCTGGGTGGTCCTATTTGTATGTGAGAATCAAAACAGCTTTGCGTTTATCGATCTCTCAGAAACGTGATTCTGGCTGTAGGCCTATGTCACATTCAAAACGCACCTTTTTGCGTCTTTAGATATGCCCATATCTAAAGACGTTTGAAAAAGGCTTTACGTTTAAGCCCCAGTCCCATATAAAGCCGGACGAGCACGGACGAGCACGGACCACTCCGGACCATCCCGGACCATGGTCTGGGGTGATCCGGGATGGTCCGGGATGTTTTGTTCAAAAAAGTGTGATGCTTTTAAGCTACAGTCCCATATACGTCCCGGACCGTCCCGGACCATCCCGGACCCCATCCGGGGTGATCCGGGATTCGGTCCGTGTTGACACCGTGTTGGCACCGGGGTGGTCCTGGATGGTCCTGGGCGGTCAATAACTCACTCCCGGACTGCCACGGATCAACACGGACCGCCCCGGCGCCACTACGGATGACCCCGGACCCAGCACGGTGGCTACACGGATCACCCCGGATCAAACTATTGTCCCGGACCGTCCCGGACCACCCCGGCAGTTTTTGACCGTCAAAAACATCCGGGGTCGACTCCCGGACCGCCCAGGACCATCCAGGACCATCCAGGACCATCCAGGACCATCCAGGACCACCCCGGTGCCAACACGGTGTCAACACGGACCGAATCCCGGATCACCCCGGATGGGGTCCGGGATGGTCCGGGACGGTCCGGGACGTATATGGGACTGTAGCTTTATCACCTTCTAAATTTGCCTGAAAGACGTTTGAGAAACCTGATTCTAGCCAAAAATCTGGTTGATAAACGCAACCATAGTTACGTAACAGAAACTATCTCCTACTTAACACGTTCATGTCATTGCCTTGTCATGATAATTGTATGCACAGATAGTTTAACTCAGGTTGCGTTTATCTAGTTTGATTGTATTTTCCTGCGGTATAAAATTATATCAGGAAAAGGTTGATTAGGCCTAAATGCGAATCATTTGGATGGTTATGTCGTAATAGCGGAGTGGCGAGATGCGTGCACGATAATAATACTAATAGTTCGTTCTTATACAGCGCATTTCAGGTTTGTATTGAGAGGGAAAAGAATTATATATTCAGGCGCGGATCCAGGATTTTCAAATGGGGGGGGGGGGGGGGGCGGAAATTTGAATATCGCGCAGACCGTTATTTCAACTTACCAATGCTGCCAAGGAAATATCCCTGGAATATTTTATAATCTGCATGAGTAAAGTCATAAAGTATTCTGATATTCTCTCCAACTGAATGTATCTACCGGACAAAAAGCCTTTTTGATCTTTATGTATGTTTTCGTCTAACAGTGGTTTTATTCTGTTTGCAATGCAACTTGAAAGAATCTTATATTGGACATTGAGCAAAGATATAGGGCGATAGATAGCGAGGTTTGTTACCTTGAGGTAGAAGAGTTATAATTCCCAAATTCTGGGCATCCTCGCAACTCACATCCGCTGCAGTTGAAAACGGAAAGAGGGAGGAAAGATAAGGTACATGGAACGTCTATACATCGTTAGTACCACGGAAATAGAAAGGATGTAAGCGTATGCATCTCGTATATGAAGTATTCAAAGCTGACGTCCACTTCCATCCGCTTTTATCCGCTAGGCTTCCGTTTAATATCCCCGCTACATACTACCACGTCGGTTATTTTCCGTTCTGTTTTCGCAATTTTTGTCCATTTCTGGAGCGGATGAAAACGGATGGAGCCACTCCCGAAATTTTGCTCGTCCGCTGTGTCCTTTATGCATACGTTTTGTGTCCATCGGCCAGTGGGACCGGGCTATTACTTGGTTGATATAAAAATCCTCAAATTCCCTCCAATTACATTACATTACATTAACATCACTGGCCGTGTTTATTTTAGTTTGTAATTTCCGCAACGTTTGTAAAATTAATATACAAATGTTGTGAATCAAGAAATATTTTATGTTTGAAATTCCATACTTGTTTTGAAACCCCATTTGGTTGAGTGTGCCGCTCTAATGGGTGGCTTTTTCACACACAAATCCCTAAACATCATACATGGGTCCCACTTTTGATAAAAATACCATTAAAAATGGATCTATTTTTTCAAAAAAATTCCCAAATTTCCGGGTGTATCAAGCACCCGAAAAACACCGAAATTTTTTGAAAAAGGGGCCTTATTTCGAGAAAAATCTCCATAAATGACCCTTTAAAATGGGTAGGGGTATAGGTGCTCGAGCGGCACACCCCCGACCAAATCTGAATACCCCCCCCCCCCCCCGGGCTTGAAATTTACACCCCTTTTCTCCCGCCGTTGAATTTCTTATGAACTGGATAGTCCCCTTCTCTTACACCGCGTTCAATGAGATGCAGTCCCAGAAATCACACTAAAAAAAGTAAGCCTGTTTTTTTTCACTGATTTTGTTGTTTGCTTGTTTGTTTTTGCAAAACTGCAGGTGTGTACACGTATTGCATGGGTGTGTGTGGGGGGGGGGGTAGACTACCTACGGCCCGCCAAGTTATGCCAATCGTTAGCTGTGGCCCGCGAGCTTTAAAATCTTGGCCACCCGTGGTATACAGCATTATGGAACCTACAGGAGGTTATTGTTATGCAGGGTTTTCTTGAAAATCAGGTCCACAGGCTTTAAGTGGAGCTGAATGAAACTACCCTGTTGAAAGAAATCATGAATGAATGAATAAATAAACAAATCTAATCTAACGAAACTGTAGTGATTAAAAGTTATACTCACGAACAGCAGTCATGCAAGTTTCGTTAGCGATGAGCACAATGATTACAAGAGCGGTCGAAAAAGCTCGATTGCTTCGAAAGAAACCCATGCAAAAACTCCACGAAATGGACGAAGGCATGATTAATTTATACAGTAGGCCTACTCTCGACGTAATTGTTTGAAGTTTTACGGCGTAAAGGAGAGTGACTCGGAACTTACACCGATGAAATCATCTGTCAATAATTAGTGAGTGCGCGACTGCATGGGTGTGCACACTATGAATATGACAGACAAAGAAAGTGGACAAAATATACAGTTCCTCAGGTAGACAAAGGAACATCCCTTCACTGCTATTATGTGAAAAGGTGAATATGCATGTGACACCTGTTCTACACATTTTTACATAATAGCAGTGAAGGGATGTTCCTTTGTCTACCTGAGGAACTGTATATTTTGTCCGCTTTCTTTGTCAGTCATATTCATAGTGGCAACTAACAACTGGCGATATCGATCGATCGCATCGTGTATCTTTTTTATATGCATGCAAATTCCAAGAGTCTGTAGTTTCTATTGTAAGACTGTTGATTGGGTGAAATGCATCACTCCTTAATAAGAGAAGAAAAGATGTAGCTTCGGAGAGTATTGGAATGTTAATGGATAACTCCTATTCTTAGTCAAATAATTGCTTCATTTTTTTTTCAGGGCTGTTGCCAAGTCAAATTTCCTTATGTTTGAGAAGTATTTAAGCTTCGAACTACATGCGTCTCAAGAATGTAATCTTTTTGTTTAAATTTTTTTTTTTTTTTTATATATGCATGCAAATTCCAAGGGTCTGTAGTTATTATTGTGAGACTGTTGGTGAAATGCATCACTCCTTAATAAGAGAAGAAAAGATGTAGCTTCGGAGAGTATTGGAATGTAAATGGATAACTCTTATTCTTAGTCAAATAATTGCTTCATTTTTTTTTCAGGTGTACTTATCTATTATGTCACGAGAAGCAATACACTTATTAGCATACTGGAAATGCTTTTGTTCTCTCAATGGAAAATCTATTTGACAGTTCTAGAGGAGAGGGAAAAAAAAAAAAAAAAACTTTTTTATATGCATGCAAATTCCAAGATATTGCAAGTGATCATAGAATGGTAAGAGTCAATATAAGCATCAACAAGAAACTAGCTAGGCTTAGATTCATTCAAAATGAGAGGAAAACACGGATTAACATCGTGAAGCTGAAGGGAAAGAAAGAAGAATTCCAACTAAAGCTTCACAACCGCTTTGATGGATTAGAGTTAGAGGATATGGACATTGATGAGCGATGCGATATGATGACATCAGCAATGCTAGAAGAAGCCAAATCTGTAGCCCCAACTGAGAAAAGAAAGATAGTAAGATCGGAAGAAGACAAAGAAATAGAGGAACTAGATCAAAGAAGAAAGGAAATACGACTGAAAGAATCCAAGACAACAACAGAAAAAGTGGAGTATGCAGAAATAGTCAAATTGGTGAAAAAGAAACGACGTCAAAGAAACAGACGAAAAACTTCTAAACTCATTTTGGAAACTCTAGAAAGCGGAAGGGGACCAAAAACAATACAAAAGATGGCAAGCAAAAAGTCCAGAATGAGCAAACTGAAGAAAAAAGATGGAAATATAACTTCTGACAGATCGGAACTGCTAGAAATATGCGCCGATTTCTACCAGGAACTTTATGGTTCAACGAAAAAACAACCGAAGGATCATATAGATATCTCATCCAGAAAATCAGACATACCGCCAATACTACAGAGAGAAGTTGAGGAAGCTGTAAACAGTATGAAGGATAACAAGGCACCAGGAAATGACGAAATAACAAGTGATATTATCAAACAAGGAGGGGAGGAGACAATCACACAGTTACTGAAACTATTCAATCAGATATTGGAAAAGCAACAGATTCCAACCACTTGGAAAGAGGCAAAAATAATTCTTTTATACAAGAAAGGTGACAAAGCTGATGTCAAAAACTATCGCCCTATCAGCCTTCTATCTCATCTGTACAAGATCTTCACCAAAGTAATCCAAAATAGAATCAAAGATAGATTGGACTCAAATCAACCCAGAGAACAAGCAGGGTTTAGAGCTGGATTCTCAACAACAGACCACCTACAATCTATAAATCAACTAATTGAGAAGGCAAATGAGTACCAACTTCAACTATGCCTCGGATTCGTAGACTACCAGAAGGCGTTTGATTCCATCGAACACACAGACATGTTTGATGCCCTACGAAAGATTAACATTGAAGAAGGGTATGTGCGCATCCTGGAAGATATTTACACCAACGCAGTAGCCAGAATTCACATTGATAATGATGTATCAAAGGAGGTCAAGATCCAGAGGGGAGTCCGACAGGGAGACACATTATCTCCAAAGATATTCACAGCCACTATAGAGGAAGTATTTAAAAAGTCGCATTTAAATGGAGGAATAAACATTGATGGGGAAACGCTTACTGATCTAAGATTTGCTGATGATGTGGCCTTGATCTCAACATCAACCAAAGACTTGGAAGACCAGCTGACAGGTCTCAACAGGGAGAGCAAACGTATTGGCCTAACTATGCACAAAGAGAAAACTAAATATATGACTAATTATGACACAGATGAAAACATCGAGATAGAAGGTCGAACGTTAGAGAGAGTGAGCAGTTACAAGTATCTGGGACAAACTTTGAAAATGGAGGACACCACAAAAGAAGAAGTTATGATGAGAGTAAAAGCAGGATGGATGAACTTTGGAAGATACAAAGACATGTTGACCAATAAAAACATACCCATGTCACTAAGAAGAAGAATGTTCAACCAATGCATTCTAACAACTATGACATATGGATCAGAAACATGGTCATTGACAAAGGATCTAGAACAGAAGCTTGTGACTACTCAAAGAGCTATGGAGAGAAAGATGTCGCATTTATCTCTGCGAGACAAAATCAACCACAAAGTCATACGCCAGAAAACAAAGGTTAAAGACATCGTGGAGAAAGTAAGAGAATCAAAGTGGAGATGGGCTGGGCATGTAGCAAGACTGCAGGACAATAGATGGACAAATCGTTTAACAGAATGGCAACCAAGGGTGGGAAAGAGAAGAAGAGGAAGGCAGAAGAGAAGATGGAGAGATGACCTAACATCATACATGGGAACGGCCGCTTGGACCAGGACAGCTAGAAACAGAAGAGAATGGAAATTTCATGAGGAGGGCTTTGTCCAACGTCTGGATGAACTATAGCCTGATAGATAGATAGATAGAAATTCCAAGAGTCTGTAGTTTCTATTGTGAGACTGTTAATTGGGTGAAATGCATCACTCCTTAATAAGAGAAGAAAAGATGTAGCTTCGGAGAGTATTGGAATGTAAATGGATAACTCTTATTCTTAGTCAAATAATTGCTTCATTTTTTTTTCAGGGCTGTTGCCAAGTCAAATTTCCTTATGTTTGAGAAGTATTTAAGCTTCGAACTACATGCGTCTCAAGAATGTCATCTTTTTGTTTAAAAAAAACTTTTTTATATGCATGCAAATTCCAAGAGTCTGTAGTTTCTATTGTGAGACTGTTGATTGGGTGAAATACATCACTCCTTAATAAGAGAAGAAAAGATGTAGCTTCGGAGAGTATTGGAAAGTAAATAGATAACTCCTATTCTTAGTCAAATAATTGCTTCATTTTTTTTTCAGGGCTGTTGCCAAGTCAAATTTCCTTATGTTTAAGAAGTATTTAAGCTTTGAACTACATGCGTCTCAAGAATGTAATCTTTTTGTTTAAATTTTTTTTTTTTATATCCATGCAAATTCCAAGGGTCTGTAGTTATTATTGTGAGACTGTTGGTGAAATGCATCACTCCTTAATAAGAGAAGAAAAGATGTAGCTTCGGAGAGTATTGGAATGTAAATGGATAACTCTTATTCTTAGTCAAATAATTGCTTCATTTTTTTTTCAGGTGTACTTATTTATTATGTCACGAGAAGCAATACACTTATTAGCATACTGGAAATGCTTTTGTTCTCTCAATGGAAAATCTATTTGACAGTTCTAGAGGAGAGGGAAAAAAAAAAAAATTCTTTATATGCATGCAAATTCCAAGAGTCTGTAGTTTCTATTGTGAGACTGTTGATTGGGTGAAATGCATCACTCCTTAATAAGAGAAGAAAAGATGTAGCTTCGGAGAGTATTGGAATGTAAATGGATAACTCTTATTCTTAGTCAAATAATTGCTTCATTTTTTTTCAGGGCTGTTGCCAAGTCAAATTTCCTTATGTTTGAGAAGTATTTAAGCTTCGAACTACATGCGTCTCCAGAATGTCATCTTTTTGTTTAAAAAAAAAACTTGTTTATATGCATGCAAATTCCAAGGGTCTGTAGTTATTATTGTGAGACTGTTGGTTAGGTGAAATGTATCACTCTTTAATAAGAAAAGAAAAGAGGTAGTTTCGGAGAGCATTGGAATGTAAATGGATAACTCTTATTCTTAGTCAAATTTAATTGCTTTTTTTTTCAGGGCTGTTGCCAAGTCAAATGTCCTTATGTTTGAGAAGTATTTAAGCTTAGAACTACATGCGTCTTAAGAATGTTATCTTTTTGTTTATCTGTGAAATTTAATATTCTTAGAACACGTCCATCAATTGGTGAAATTGAAATTGCAGTTGCTTCAAAAGCCTCAAAGGAATAGATTGTCAAGCATTTCTTTTCTGTGTGACTAAGAAAGATGAAAATAAACAGAGTGAAAAGGGCGCATTATGCGGATAATTATTATCCTAAATCCAAATTTAAATACATTGGTTGTTCCCAGGTGTACTTACCAGCTGCATGTTTTTCATGTTGGTATTTACTTGGTAGTTAAGCTATTATATGGGAAGATACTGGTTTACAACCCTGTGATTATTAAGGATGTTCCCTTTTTATATGTTGATTATTGAAATGTAATTTACTCCTGAATACTTAATCAATTTGTGATTAATAGATTCAAGAGCCTTCAAAGATTGTCGTACATGACATGTTTTTTTTTTTATAATTGCAAGGAAGCATTTATTTTGTGTATTCTGTAAGTCAGGCTATTATAGCACCTTCAATGTGGAGAGGGTACATAATCCTTTATAGCCTTATTTTCGGGAATGTTACCTTTAAATAGAAATTTTTAGAGTGGGAGGGGTGGGGCGGGGGAGCTGCAATATTGCATGCCTTACATGGATCAGTTTCCTTCCCAGATGACGGGGTTTCGTTCTTGCTTTTCGTGGGGTCCTTTAA